CGTGATAATATGCGAATCCCGGCCCGGACCCCGTCAACCGTTCTGGTCCCCGGTGGTAGGGCTGCCAGGATGTCTTCTTCCAGTGCCGTCATGCCGGCGCAGCCGAGGATGATGCTCCGGGCTCCCTTGTCTATCAAGGGCTTCGAGAACATGGCTATCCGGTTGATGACCACCTCCCGGTCCAGGTTTTCCAGCTCGAGCGGCCCGATCCCGGTCGCCGCGACGCCCGCAGAGTTCTCACCGAACCCGAGTTCGCTCACTGAGTCGGTCAGCGGCTTTTCCCAAGCATGGGCCGTGGTCACGATGCCGAACTTCCCACCGTGTTGCGTCGCCTCTTGGAGGGCAGCTTGAAATATGCCCGTGACGGGGATGGTGACCAATCTCCTGAGGGCGCATACGAGAGGGTGGTTCGAGAAACAGCAAACGAGGACGCCGTCGAGGGTGTGAGAGCTGATGTAATCGACGGTTCGAGGAAGAACGGCCCTCGTCGACTCGAATGCATGCGCTTCGTTCTCGATACTTGGCGGACAGCCCAAGAGGTCACGGCCGTCAATGAATGATATATCAAGCCCAGGCCTTGACTTGTATATGCGGACGAGGTCCTCTGTTATGCCAGTGGTGGATATCGGGACTATACATAGCAGTCTTATAGTGCGGTTCAGAGAACCCATCGTGAAAATGAAATACGAAAGAAGCTCCACGTCCTTATAGATGGTCGAGACTGAGACAAGGACTCACTCGCCAAGGGGAAAATGCCTTGACGATTATGCTCTGTTAAATGAAACAGAATACGACTAACCCGAACCACTTCGTTTTCAGCAGCCATTCAACAGCTGGCGCGCTTAGGGGCGAGACCAAGTGACGGCTTATTTAACAGCTTAGCCGCCAGGTTTCCCTCCCGCCGGGCGTCCCGACCCATCAGCCCGAAAATGGCGCCAACGACATGTCAACCGCGCTGGCACTTGCGATGCAAAAATCATACGATTGTAGGGAGGTCCCTCTTTCAGGCGATCTAGTCTAAATGTTCCTCTGACGTATCACGTAGGCGAATACAGCTCTTCCCACGAGGAGCTAACACGAGTTTGGGTAGAGGGCATCTAAGGAAGTGGATATCTTATCGGAGATATATCAAAATATGCATGCAGGATAATAAGTCCGCTCACATCTGTAAGGGATGATCTTGTCCCTACCGGATACTACCCTCCGCCCCTCCCATTATATGGCCTTTTGGGACCCAGAGATCTGGAAAAAGGAAAACGCGCTCGCTCCGCAACCATTATAGCATTGCACAGACACACAGGCTCTTTGCCGCTCCTACCCCCTCATGCCATACTCTCTTGGCCAATGTATCGGCTTTTCGTCTCCTTCTCTTCCGCTGATACCTTTGACGGCGTCTGTTCGCGCCCATCAAGCACCGTGTCCTCCGGGGGACCGAACGTGCCGAAATAATCCGCGTCATCGACCGCGTGGGGGCTTTGGATCGGGAACAGGCGGTTTAGAAGGCAGTACGACGCGACGGCCAGGGTGCACCCCAAAGGCCAGGCCAGGTAGTAAAGGTGAGACCACCCCCTCTCCTCAACTGTAGGCTCCCGCACCCTCTGCACGAAGCCTGGGAGCAGCGAGAACGTGCTCAACGTCCACGCCGCGCCAGCCCTCCAGTTGACGCCGCCGCGGTACCAGTATATACTTTGGCTTGTCGCTTCGTAAAGGTGCGTCAGCTTCAGCTTCCGCTGGCGTACAATGTAGTAGTCGGCGAACATGACGCCTGTCATGGATCCGAGGAAGACGCCGTACCCGCCCATGACGGTCAGGAACTTGCTCGCGCCGTTAAGCAGCTGCCACGGCTGCATGATAAAGGCCACGGCAGCCGTCAGGTACCCGCCCCTGCGCAGGTTGAAGAAGCGCGGCAGCAGCGCCGACAGGTCGATGCCGTTGGACAGCGCGTTCTCGGCGACGGCGATGCCGAACTGCGCAAAGACGAAGGCCAGGCTCGCGAAGAAGACGGCCGCCCGCACGCCGGCCGAGTTGCCATAGTGGGCCTGCATCGCATCGAGGAAGCGGTACGGCTCCCAGACCAGAGTGCCCTCCGTCGCCGGGAACAGCTGCGCGGCACATGAGGTGCAGACGATGCCGACGAAAGCGACGAGGATGGTGTTGAGGGGCACAAAGACCAGCTGCGACACGAGCTGGTCGCGCGGCCGGCGGGCGAAGCGCGTGAAGTCGGACTGGCTGAAGATGTGCGTGCTGATGCCGCCAATGTTGGTGCAGATGCCCAGAGCGAGCATCCACGCCAGATGTGAGCCGTGAGCCTGCTGGACACCGGCCGTGGACGTGATGTCCGTGAGCATTGGGCCTGCGCCGCGGGCCGTTGCGAGACACCAGATGAGGAGGGTGAAGACGGTGGGGATGACGGTGCAGGCGGCAACGAGGAAGGGAACGTGGTAGCGCTCCGGGCGAATGTAGATCAGAGGTAAGCAGAGGAGGGAGAAGATGACGAAGCCGATGAAGTCGGCTACGGTCATCGTGCCGTTGGCCAGGGGCGTGTCAAGCCCGTTGAAAGACGGGGCCATGGACGAGATGAAGGTCCGCACGCACTGCCCGCCCCAATAGACCTGCGTCGAATACCAGATGAAAGACAGCACGATGCGCTGCACGAGCGGGAACAGGGCACCGTACATTCCCCAGCTAGACTTCTGCAGTATGGAGAAGCCAATGTGCCACTTGGCGCCCGGTCCGCCGGCGAGCACGCAGATGAGGCCGACGAGGCAGTGGCCGACGATAACGGTCAGCATGGCCTGCCAGACGTTCAGGCCGAGCGCAATGAGGGAGGAGCCCGTCGTCCAGCCGCCGATGTTGAAGGAGCCCGTGACGACCCAGAGGCCGACGAACTGCCACGGCCCGTACGTGCGGCGGTCGGGCGGGAGGGGCCGCGTGTCGCGGTTCATGTATGCCGTTGTGACGACATCGGTCTCGCGGGAGACCTGCATGCGTCGGAGGAGGGCCGCCGCCTTCATCATGGGCGGCTTTGCTTGGCCGGCAAGTCTCACAAAAGGTCGAACGGTTCGGTTTTGGTGCGTACCACAGCAAGTACGTGCGTGTGGGTGATCTGCCGATGACGATCTTCCCGCTAGCCAACAAGACCTTTCATCACGCTCTGCCGTTGATCGGATGATGTCTGAGTGTGGTGGTTATGGAAGCTGCTTCAGTTTGGCGCCGAGCCAAACTACGTCCCGGATGCGTTGTTCTGTGCACCGTCTCACAGAACGGAGCAGGCGATGGAGTAGAGGGTTGTATCAGATGAAAGACTCAAAAAAACCGGCTTATAGTGACGAGACTAGGCCGAGGGGGGGCGATTGGCAAAGGGGCGCCAGACAAGACCGTAAGCAGACCGCTCGGTGATGAGGTGGCTTTCTCCCCGACCTTCAGGTTGTGACACTCTAGGTCGGAAGCTTAGATGGTGGCACAGACCGTGGAGAGTTTGGGACTTTAGTAGGTTTCGTCGAACAAGTCGCGGGGTTGGAAACACTAAATACGGTGTACTGGTGTGGTGTAGGTATCGTATTTCTTTCTTCGGCACTATGTGTGTGCCCCTCCGAGGGCCTAGACGCCCTTGAAGTTGATTATTGTGTCATTGGGGGCCCTCCTCCCTCGTTACCGCAAAATGGGTGAACCATGATTTCGGTAGCGTGAAGACGGTCCGGAGTTAGCATGTCGGGCATGATGGCGAGAAGTTCTTGGCGGCACGTTTGCTGGGTACCGAACTGCGAGACAGGGAAAACAGCCCCGTCTTACTGTCTATGGCGTTCCCTACATGATGGTGGCTGGCCGAGATGTACGCGATGGGCGAGGTGCAGGAAGGGTCGCTTCACCAACTGTTGAGGGGGATTCACATCCCAGGCGCTCCAGTGATCTGAAATGATACGACATCCTTGAACAGTTGGGAAGCAAGACTTGGAGACAAGGATGAGCAGAATGGTTGCCCGGCTTACTTCTCAAACGGCTCATGTTCCTCTGTGGGCGTCTGCTGATTTGCCATGTGCCGTACGTGATGAAGGCCAGCCAATTCCATGCGTTACCCTGATACCATGCCGTTGGCGAGCCCGCCATGTGCGCTGCGGTCATCATTCTGGGGCCAGGAAAATGGCCGAAATTGCGTTATTCGTATATATATAGTACCACCGGTCCCATGCAGAAATCACCCAAAGTATGCAGCGGTGACGATGATCTTGGCCGGAACAGGGATAGGACAAAAAGGCCTTCAGGGGTCAAAACCAGGCACTCGGGAAACTGAGGAGGTCTAGACGGAGCTCGACTAGGGTCTCGGTTCGGTTTTTGACTCTTCTCGTCCCTCTGCCCTGCCCGCCCCTCAAACTGGCTCTTTGGAGTTGTTTGCTCTTTTGGCTGATGTCTCTTAGTACCTAGGGATTCTTGGCAACTGAGGGGAGACACCTTGTGGAGGGCAGCAGGGGTCGGAGAGCACAGAACGAAGACTTTATTGGACCGCAGAGATTCGGCAGTTCTTCGTCTGGTCGAATGCGGCGTGTTGCATGTTTGCTCCCTCCACTACGGACAAACAGACGGCGCATATGTATTCTTCAGTTCAACAGTGACAAATCATCGCGTTTTGGTCGGCTTCGTCATCAGTATCGTTGCTCGCTGCATCCTTCGATGCGACCTAGCTGGTAAAGGTTCGTTCTTATCTCCGCCCTCGTTCCATGTTTGTTTCTCTTCGCAGCACATCCGCAGTGGGATTTTGACGGGCACAAACAAACAAGCATCGCGGCACGGGGTCCCGGCAGCGCCCGGTCGCGTTCACATCAGCCCCATCGAATGCAGCACGCATGACTTTGCAACCGGCCGTTCCCGTGCCGCCCATGTTCTCTCGCGTTCTGTGCGACTCTGGCGGTTCCCCTCATTCCCCAGTGCTTACGTTTTCGTGGCGGGTCAGGAGACTGGCTAAAGGCAAACAATTGGCGGGTTTTCCGGAATCTGCAGCCTGCGCAGTTCTACAGCTTTAACCGCCCCCCCGAGACCTTGACCCAGATGACCCCACGAGGTTATCTAGACGTACGTCTCGGCCTTTCTGGCTTTTGTTGTTTAGAAGGAAACGTCGTACTTAACCGCAAGTCTTGGACTATTCCACTCCCTGTCGCTGTTAATTTGGCGTCGGACGTGATGTACTTGGGCTGAGCAGCTCATGGCAATGTGGTGCATCTCTCTACTGCGAACGTCCATCCACCTGCAGCATTTGCCTCTTCTATCTTGGTTCATTGCATGAAGCAATCTCTTGTTACGCAGTAAACCTACATCTCCCTCTTTCTCAGATTTGCGCCAATCCATCAATTGACCAAGCAGACATGTCTGCGGCCTTGCCAGTCATTGATTTGCAGTCCTTCGGAAAGGTGGAAGACTTGGGGGCCGAGCTGATGCGCGTCGGCAAGGATCCCGGCTTCTTTTACGTCGTCGGACACGAATTGGGCGACCACGTCGCTGCGGGCGTGTTTGACCTCGCCCAAGCCTTCTTCAACGCACCCCTGGAGGATAAGTTGGCATTCGCAAATGGGAGTGGCGATCTGGTTAGTCTGCACCAACTCCAACACCTTCCCTGCCTGTGTTGCTCGACGCCGTGAGAGATGTGACGAATTTTGGATCGCCAATCAGCTCGCTGACCGTGGTCGTGCTGACGCCTAGGGCTACACCGGCTTAAGAGAAGAAAAGTAGGTTGCTTCTATACCCAACGCTCCTTATTAACTACATTGCGCTAAGACATTACGTTGGAAACCAGGTTGTCGGGAGCCGGGCCCGGAGACGTCAAAGAATCATTCTATCTTTCAGACCCCGGGAGGACCGCGCAGCCTCTCCCAGCGGGCCTGGAAAGAGGCCGTGAGACGATGGCGGCCTTCTTCTCTGGCTGTGACAGGTTATCAAAGACGTTACTGGAAGGACTCGCCGTTGGCCTGGGCGTAAGCTTAACCCCCAAAGACGAGTAAAGAACGAGAATCCACCGGTCCAGAGCTGAACTTTTGCCCAGATGCCAAAAGACTTTTTGTCTACAGCCCACACAGGCGAGAGTTGCCGAATGCGTCTCATCAACTACCCCCCGGTATCCCAGCTCTCTTCCCGCCACAGCCTGACATCCGAAGGTCCGGAAGACATCCGCGCAGGCGCACACTCCGACTACGGCTCCCTAACGCTGCTTTTCCGCCAGCCATCTGATCAAGGTGGATTGCAAGTCTTACGGGACGGGGCATGGGTCGATGTAGCATGCCTGCCGGATGCCATTGTTGTGAATATTGGGGATGCCCTCGAGTTTTGGACAGCGGGGAGATTACGGTCTACGGTGCATCGGGTGGCTTTTCCGAGGACCGCAAGGGAGAACGTCGGGAGGTTGAGCATACCTGTGTTCATCCAGCCTGACCGACATGTCATATTGGCACCGATCAAGAGCGCAGATGAGCCACTAACGACAGGGCAAGAACTCGACGCAGAGTTCATGGAGGTTTTGCGGCGAAAGGGGTACGAGAACGCCAAGCCCGTCACGAGTTCAGAACACCTGAACAGAAGAATACGAGCCACGTATACCAAGGTCTGATGAATTTCGGGTGTATTCACGAGGTCATTGGCGACTGAAGCGGCATAGAAGCGATCATATTTACTATTAGATGGGCATTCGGGAGTGTCACGAGGTGATATAAGGCGTTAGTTGTGCTGCCCGCAATTAACGGCGTCGTCTTTTGCGTGACAGGGAGCAAACCACCAATGTTGGCACTGTTGTAGTTTCATTTGCTTTACTATGTGGGAAAACACCCAACAGTGTAGCTGAAGAATCACTGTGCGTCTGAAATTACAGCCTATATCATTGAGGAAGAACCAGCAAATTTGACCAAACCAAGAGTCGTGCCTACCCAGGCGATAACTTTACTAAGCTCCGAAACTCCGTTGCTCTCTGTGTTGTTACAACAACCTTGCCTCTTGAGCTATCTTCTAGCCTTTGGAATGTATGTTAGGAGCAGCAGTCATGATGTTTTCCAATTAACAGGTTTCAAATAGACATGATTGATGAAAGCCACCATATGTAACACATATTTAGCCAACGCTCTATGGATTTCTGTTTACACAATCTAGAGATAATAAGGAGGCTCGGCTCCGTCTACTGTGGCATACAAGTCTGTTATGGCTTCCGCAAGATCATTCGGAAGAGGGCCAGCATTGAGTGCATCGAGAGTCTGGTTGAGTTGCTCCACCTTGGAAACGCCAAAGATGAGACCATCGCCATGCTTCCCATCCAGCTGGCTGTGGAAGGCCGTCCACCGCATTGCGGCCGCATGTCCGCTAATGCCATGCTCTTCTGCAAGGTCGAGAATAGTGAGAACTGCCATCTGGACCGGAGGCTGCCTGTAAAAGTAACTATAAAGCTTTCCAATGAAGTTCTTTGTTTTGTCAGATCAAGTCCGAAATCGCTGATGTGGGAACTTACATCGGGTTTCCATCGGCCTGATGATTCGGCATGACCTGAGAAAAGGCCGCCAGCTGCTGGGCTAACATCAGGTTAGCTTGGGTCCAGTCATAGTATTGATGGATGACAACTTACCTGTACGCATAAAATGCCAAGTTGTGTTTGCGTAAGAGGGGAAACAACTCCTTTTCAACTCCTCTCACAATGGCGTTGTAGTGTCCCTGATACACGCTGGGCTTCGCGTACCCATGCTCCTCGCAGATATCAAGAAACCTTTGTACTTCCTCGGCAGAATAGTTTGATAGGCCGTATTTTTTAAACTTGCCCAGATGGAGAGCGTCGCTCATCGCCTTCGCCGTTTCTTCGAAGGGGGTCGCGCGGTCTGGTAAGTGCAAAAACATGGTCTCGACGCAGGCCGTTTGGAGATCGGCAAGTGACTGGTTGATGCTGAGTTCAAGCTTTGCAGCCTGGTGGTCCCCAGGATCGGCACTATGGACTTTGGTATGAATAGTGAATTGAGAGGCAGCCTTGGCCCGGCCCAGGCGCGATTCAGAGGCACCGGGGACGCTCGGAGAATAGTCACGGGCTGTGTCAAGATGGTTGTATCCGCGGATGCGGTATGCTTCCAAAAGAGCCTGGACATCTTGCTCGCTGTCGAAATGAGAGGATCCAGGGTCGGAGCTGCTGTCGCCGATCTAGCGTCACGTCAGCAAGTGTCAACTGTTAATTTACTCAAGGGCGACCAACGCTGTGAGTTCCAAGAATGAACGTGGGTGAGGTTTGGGAAGCCATAATGGGTAGAGGCGGATACGCGAGGACTGTAGACGTTAGGATGACTCAACGTATAGGAACCAGTCACACAATGTCCAGTATTTAATATCAGAAAACTCAGTGGGGACCCATTATTCATGACTTGTTCCAGTGATACGTAGTAAGCCTGCAGTCGCCATACTACTATAAATGGCCTGGTCGCTGTTGATCAGTTTCGCTTTCCCAGGGGCTCTTCGCTACTTACGGAGTTACCGAATGTCACATTGAATCCACAGTATGTGATTTAGCGAAACGCTATTCTAATTCTATTGATAGGATGCTCGATTTTAACTGGTATAGCATAGGGAACTGATGGCGTAATTTGATTAAGTGACAAGAGTGTTGTTAAGATGATTTTTAGCCCCGAGGGAGGCCACTGGAAAATTGACCTAACTGACATCGGCAATCGTTGCTGAAGGAGAAATTGATGTAGTGATCTTACGTTATGCTGTATGTTAGATGATAAAAAGTCAAGCATGAATAAAAAGAAAGGGGGTAAAGATGGGATAGTAATATGATAAAATTCGTATTTTATAGCAAGTTGTCCCGGAGAAAAAGCGCTTTGCTGGTACCCGGGGACAGGATTTGCTTCTGGCTAGGGATGAGAGGGCACATGTATCAACAAGTCTTGGCAGTGGTCTTTTGTCCCGAAGGCCAAGGAAACCATCGTGGTTATCGTCATGTCCACACGGCTAGACTAAGTATTCACAGTGGTTATTGGGCTGAATTTCGTGTTTCGCCGCAAGCCTCAAGTCACTAACCGCCGTATAAACTGTAGATATATAGTGGATGGGAAAATTCACTGTAGGCCATGCGATTTGGTATTCGCGCCAGTCCGTTCCATCGACTGAGTTGCCATAGAGTATCAAGTACAGCAAGGCTCAACATTTCACTCTTCCTTCAGATTCGGCAGAAATCTCGAAGAAGCTGCCGCTTTTCCAGCGAGTTGTGCAATACGTTGACCGCTAGTCAACTCAAAGACTGAAAGATCAGCTCCAATCTCCTTTGTCATCCACACTCGAAGCTCTACAGCCACAAGCGAGTCGACGCCGTAGACGTTCAGGGGTCTTGATGGGTCAAGATCGACCAACTCGTAGCTGAGAATCTTGGACAACTGCGCCAGTAAGGCATCTAGAACGATTTGCTCAGCTTGCTTCAGCGACTCTGATGCCGCGATCAGGTCGGCAGTTGATCGTTTGCCGGAGCTGTGCTTCCCCGGCAAAGAGTTGCCGCCATGATCGCTGTGCAGAACCAAGTGGTTGTACATCGGCTCGTGCTGCCAAGTGGGCTGCTCCGCGCCCTCGTCTGCCGAGTACTTGGGGAGCCAGAGCATAGGAATGACCTGGGCGTCCTTGGTGCTTATCTCCTTGCCCTGGCCTGGCTTCGTGGGGCGACAGTAGTAGTCCAACGCGTTGAGGAGCTCCCCGACAGACATGTATGCCCAGCCGATGGAGAGAAGATACTCCCTCAGCATTGGTCTCACAGCGACCATGCCAGCATCGCTCATCACTGGTGCGTTGAGCGCGACAACGTTGTGACCCTGAGATGCAAGGTGTTTGGCCATAGCATCTTGGTACGCGTTGCCCGCACTGTAGTTTGACTGGCCTGTGTTGCCGGTAACGGCTGTGAGAGAAGACAACATGACGAAGAAGTCAAGGGTCGAGTCGGAGGTAAGCACTTCCCACAAGTTCTTGCTTCCAGCAACCTTGACGTTAACGGCTCCATGCCACTCATCTGCAGTCATGCTAGTGAAGACATTGTCCTATAAGCACAACTTGTCAGTAAGATGATTCCTTTGGCGGAAAATTATGCAGTTCGCCAGGTCAAAACTTACGCGAAGCACTGTGGAAGCTTGGATGCATCCACGAACTGGAGGCATATTGGAGAGAGCCAAGACGATGGCTTCCTCCAAGGCCTTCTTGTCGGTGATGTCACAGCAAGGAGTGACGATGTTGACGCCGTTGCTCTGTAGTTCTGCAATCAGAGCCTTTGCCGATTCATCAACAGGTCCCTTCCTCGATGTCACGATCATATTGCGCGCGCCCTGTTGTGCCATCCAGCGAATTATCTCGATGCCAAGGCCTCCGAAGCCGCCAGAAACGACGTAAGTTGCGTCTGAGGTGAATTTAGTCGTGGGTAGTGAACGCTCCACCACCTGGACAACATCGTCGTGGTTGCACTCGACGAGAATCTTTCCAATGTGCTTGCCGGACTGCATGAAGCGCATTGCATCTTGTATCTTAGACACAGGATACCTCGTGATGGGTGTCTTACGGTCAATACCAAGGCCGATAACACTCTCCATGGCGCGTGCGAAGAGGTCGTCGAGTCGTCCACTGTCTGTCTGCCGCATGTAGTTCAACTCGAGAGACTCAAATCTCACACCGCGGGCAAAGGTGCCCATGGAGATACGAGATCTGGATTCAATGTCGGACAAACCAATCTCGGCAAAGGATCCGAATGGTGCGACGATTTCCCAGGTGGCACGGAGCGTGTCACCAGAGAGACTGTTGATGACGATATCGACTCCACGGCCGCCAGTCATTCTCAAGACGCCCTCTTTGAAGGTCAAGTCGCGGCTCGAGAAGATGTGGTCTCGTGGCAATCCATAAGTCTTCTCGAGGAAATCACGCTTCTCGAGGCTGCCTACTGTGGCAAAGATCTCGGCGCCCTCACACTGAGCGAGCTGAATAGCAGCCTGACCGACACCGCCGGCCGCCGCGTGGATCAACACAGTAGACTTTTGGCCGCGTCTCGTACGCTTGTCCAACCCGCCAATGTCGTACAGACAGGCGTAAGCCGTCGTATACACAATGGGGATAACCGCAGCCTCTGCAAAGGACTGGTTCTCGGGCACCTTCGCAAGAGTGCCCTCAGCGCCTCTGCCATAGGTAGAGAAAGCGCCGTTGAAGGTGAAGCCGAAGACACGATCGCCAGGCTTGAAGCGAGTCACTCCCGCTCCTACCCTAGTAACGATACCTGCAGCCTCAAGACCAACAGGCGTTTCCTGGATCTTGCCAAGCATTACGGCCAAATCCTTGAAGTTGACAGCAGTAGCCATGGTCTGGAACTCAACCTCGAACTCTTCCAAGGGAGTTGCATACAGGTGATCGTCAGTGAAGCGTAGAGAGCTGAGTAGGCCGACGTGTTGGATCTGAAGACGCAGAGGACGGCTCAGGTCTGCTCCAAAAGCAACTTCGGCGATGGCCTCGTTGGGAATCTGCTTGATGTGTCTCGTCACAGCGGAAGCCTCAACGAGTCGTGGAACGGTGATTGATCCATCGATAACCTTGTATGAGGTTTCGTAGGGCCCCTTGTTGGATGAAACGCTCTGATCAATCTCGAAGATCCTATCCGCGGTGGTGTCTGTATCCTCTTGCGATTGGAAAGTGATGGCCACAAATTCGAGCTCGGGTCTCTCCAGACGAATGGTTGCGGCAAAGCCGTTGACAAGAGCAGCCTCAGGGGTCTCTTCCTTGGTAACCCACAGCAGCCGTTTACCGGCCACCATGGTCTTCACGGCAGCCAAGACCTCCTCGCTGGCTGAAGCGAGCAGAGGTGCTTCCAACTCAGCGAGTAGGATACAAGTACTCTCGGAAATCTCTTGTTGACTGGCTCCCGCTGTGGACTGAGCGTATTGCTCGATCGTAGCGATATTGGCTGCCACGCCCTTCTCAGCCAAGCAGGATGCCAGTCTTTCAGCCACGAGGCGTTGGGCATCTGAAGAGATGTTGCCAACGACGTAGTAGGTCCCGGAGGTCGCTGCTCCGTTGCTGCGCTCTTGTGACGGAGCACTCGAGATCAGGACCAAGGAGCCTTGGTTACTAAGCATAGCATCGACACCAGCGAATCCGTTCCGGGTCAAGCAAGTGCCCCAAATTTTTGCCATGGCTTTGCTTCGTGCCTCTGTGAGAAGGAGCTTGCCCTCGGGCTTGAGGAGCCTCAAAATTCTGCGAAGGACCCCGTCAATATCGTTGTTAGGTATGGCGCGAATCGGTGCAATTAGAACATCATACGATGCCAACTCGACATCCTGAGAAGCTAGCTCAGCCTTGATGTCAACAACCTTGAATTGAACATTGCCTTCTTCGGAAATGCTTGTTCGCGCCTCGTCCAAGAAAGAAGACGAGCTGTCGACAAGGTCATACTGGACATAGCGCTGTCCCAGGGTGGACAAGACTTTCTTTGCCGAGGTGCAAGTGCCGTTGCTGATATCGAGGAACTTCATCGACGGGTTCTTGTGAGCAAGTGCATCCAGATACTTGTGGAAGCCCTCGGCTCCTTCAAAGATCTTCTCGGCCTTCTCGGTACGGAGAAGCGCGGGATCCGGCTTGTAATCAATGTTCCATGCTCTGTGGCGTGGGTCATGTACAGATGTAGAGTCGTCAGAACCGTCGACCTCTGTCACAATACAGCCCGAGAGTTTGATCATGGGCTCGTTTGACTTGGAGTCCACAGCAGTGCAGGACATGAGATGCTTTTTGCGCCCATGAGAGGCGGAGTCTGCGAAAACGAGATATTCGTCTTCCGAATGCTGGGAAGCGGAAACCCAGAGCTCGTCCATGAAAGAAATGACAATGGGACTCTTTTGTTTCTTGGCGGGGTTAGACACAAGTGGTACCAAGCACGCTTGGAGTGCGCCATCCAGTGTCGTTGGGTGGATCAAATGCGGTCGAAGATATTCCTTGGGCATCATCGTCTTCAGCAAGGGTACGGTCGGCTTGACCTTGGCCAGAGTTACGCCTGATTCGTGGTCGACAGCAAAGTCCGACACGGTTTGGAACGTTGGGCCAAACACAAAGCCGACATCTTCCCACGCTTGGTATATCTTGTCGGATGTGCCCCGAGTCTTGCACTTCTGTTGAGCGTCATCAATTCTGGCCTTGCAATGGGCCATGAACGCTTCATCTTCAAGGCCGCCATCTACAGCTGATGCTGCCTCTTCAAACTCGATGAGGACCTGGCCACAGCAGTGTTCCCGCCATTGGTCATCATCCTGGGCGGTGCAGACTTGGAACTCGCGCCAAGCCGAAGGCTTCGTCTCCAAGGCGGCCTGCTTGACGGGTCGCAGGTACAAGTGTGACTCGACGCCCATCGCGTCGTCGGGAACCTGCAACGCTGAATGGAAAGAGACCTCACGGAAACGGATTCCCTTGATTTTCTTCTCGGGACACGAACGCTCGGCGAGCTGTTTGCAACCCTCAATTGCCATGACGAGCATGCCCGCAGCAGGGTACAACACAGATCCGGAGATAGTGTGATGTTCCACCCACGGGTTCTCCGAGAGACGAATCCAATTGCGCCAGATGGCATCATGTTGGCCGTCCCAGTCATTGACGGGCGCTCCGAGGAGCTCGTGGCGAGGGTACGGGCGGAAGCGGAAGTTTCTGCTGAGTCGACATTCGTTCCAGTATTCCCGAGTGTGGTTGAAGGGATACCGAGGAAGGTCAATCATCATTGACGGCTGCACTCCGTCAACGTGGTTGACCTTTACCAGGTCAAGTTCAATCCCCCGAGTGAACAGAGATCCAACTCCCTCCATGCTTATTTGCAAGTCTGGCTCACCACGCTTGAGGAGATGATGATACTTGACACCGGCGTTGCCTCTGACCTCATCGTTAATGTTTCGTAGCGGGCCCTGTAAGGCCGAATGGGGTCCGATCTCGATAATGTCTGTGACGAGATGGGATTTGCTACCTTCGCCCTCGACACCGGTTAGGGCTTGAAGCATGGCTGTCATTGACTCGTTGAACCTGACTGGCGACGTTAGGTTCGTAGTCCAGTAAGCGGCCTCTCGAAGCTTGGAGTGTTGAATATGCGACCCGTATGCCGATGAGAAGAATTGCACGTTAGAGGATTGGCCGATGGGCGAGCCTGGCTCAATCTCTCCGATTAAGCTGGCGTACTCCTTTGAAATAGGCTCCATGAGCTTCGAGTGGTACGCCATCTCGACCTTGAGCTTACGAGCAAAGATGGACTCCTCGTTGAGCAGTTGAACCAGTGCATCGATTTGCGCAACATCTCCACTGATAGTGTGACTGGTTTTGCTATTCATGCAAGCAACAGCAAGTTTTCCAACGCTCTCGAAGCCAGACTTGTTGACTCTGTCGATGTACTCCAGAGCCTTGTCCAAGCCCAGGCCGACAGCGGCCATAGTACCCTTTGGCTGTTCGGGAGAGCGAGCCAACTTGGCAGAGAGCTTTCCTATAAAGCGAAATGCGGATTAGCCTTATTCATGTCTTGAGCGCAAGAGTAACTTCAATTACCACGCCAGTATGCAATACGCCAAGCGGACTCTTGCGAAATAGCACCAGCAGAGTAGGCAGCTGCGATTTCACCAGAGGAATGACCGGCAGCAGCACGGAATTGCACCCCCCAATCAGCCAGTAGATCGACCAAAGCAACCTGTACAGCGGTGCACAAAGTTTGCGAGAATTCAGCGTCATTGATCCGGGAGTCTTCAGCCTTCTTTGAAAGTTCATCTGCCATCAACATGCGTTAGCCAACAGAATCTCCATACCAACAAGCGCGGTAGGGATTGCGCCTCTACTTACCGATGACAGACCATTCGCATCCCACCGTCTTGAGATACGCATCTGCACTTTCGAGACTTTGTCGGTAGGGTGAGTAGTGCATGAGCCCATGTCCCATGCGAGCCCACTGCGCTCCCTGGCCCGTGAATACAAGTCCAAGACCGGGTTCGGCGACAGCCCGCGTAGCTGATTGGCTTTTGGAAAGGATGTCTTCCAATTCCTTTCCTGAACTGGCGACGACTGCGCTGCGCCAATGGAACCGAGACCTCTTCGTCGCTAATGTGTAGCTGAGATTGTAAAGAGACTCAGTCATGGTTGGCAAGTATTCCTTGTATGCGTTGCAAATTCTAGTGATGCCATCTTGATCCTGACTGCTAAAGACAAACAGCTGCGGAGTAAAATGAGTCCCATTGATGACCGGAGTTATTTGGCTCGCTGAGTAGAACTTCCCTTTAGTATATGCACCGATAAAGTATTCAAAAAGGGACAGAGGGAAGGGCTATGCCGACTTACAAGATGGGTCTGGCAGTCGAGGCACTTCGACAGTTCGGTGAGGCGCCACATAGTTAAGCTCTTTGAGGCAAGTAAGGGCGTCGTCCATAACGACGTGCGCGTTTGTGCCCGAAATACCGAACGAGTTGATGGAAAGTCGACGGACACCTGACTTGGTCTTGGGCCAGGGCATCGCCTTGGTCGGAAAATAGAGATTCCACTCGTCTGGAATCCTGGGGTTCTTCTCCTCGAACCATGCGTTTGCAGGGATAATACCCTTTTCCAGGCAGAGTACACCCTTAATGAAAGATGCAACGCCAGAGTTGCCCTCGGTGTGTCCGATATTGCTCTTGAGGGCTCCAATGATCAGAGGCTCTTCTGCCGAACGATACGGGGTGAACATTTCGCTGATAGCAGCCGCCTCAGTGGGATCGCCCACGTTGGTTCCAGTTCCGTGGGCCTCAAAAAAGCGCGTTTCAGAAGGGTCAAGCTGGGCTTTAGCATATGTCATTCGCATAAGTTCAGCCTGGGCCTCCTTAGCAGGTGCCGTAAGGCCAGGAGAGTGACCGTCATGGTTGCATCCGGAATTGCGGATAACAGCACGGATGGCTAGTTTCAACAGCGAGGTCAGTGTCTGATATCACTCTTACTGTAACTAGGGAAGGAAGGAAAACTCACTATCTCCGTCGCGAACTGCATCTGACAGCCTTTTGAGAACGACCACTGCGATACCTTCGCCTCTTCCGTATCCGTTTGCACTCTTATCGAAGCTCTTCGAGGCACCTGCTGGGTCAAGAACACCAAGGCCGTTGAGCTCCAGGCCCATTTCAGGTGTGAGCAATACGTTGGTGCCGCATGCAATTGCCTATTGATGCATCAATGTGTTAGAATACCTGTTCAAGACAGCTTAGTTGTGTGTGGTGGGGCCCGTACTATGTTACAGTCGCGGGACTTCAAGCCAACAACAGCCTGGTGAAGAGCGACCATGCTACTTGAACAAGCAGTGTCGACGCTAAGAGCCGGTCCTCTCAGACCATAGAACCATGAGACGCGCCCAGCTAATGTGCTAGCGATGGTACCGGTCGCAGTGTACGTCATCGGTACATCCACGTCTTTGATCAAAAGATCACGAAAGTCCCACATGAACGATCCAACATACATGCCCGTTAGCGAGTTGTGCATGTCAGCCATGGTATAACCAGCGTTTTCCATGGCAGTGTAAACACATTCAAGCAGCATTCGCTGCTGAGGATCCAAGTTTGCAGCCTCAGCAGGTGTCATGGCGAAGAAGGGCGCATCAAACGCCTTCACATTAGCATTCAAGAAGTGTCCTTCTTTGCCGCCAATCTATAATCCCGTTAGCTCAGATCATTGGGAAGCATATTCGGGGATGGGTATTTGGCGATCGTACCACTCCGTCTCTGTGATGGTCGGGGTGCCAGAAAGCTTCCGCATTGTATCGATCGGATGGAACAGGTCCTCTCGCAGATCTTCCGTCAACTAGGAACTGAAAGAACTTCTCGACAGTATCTCCGTCGCATGGAAGCTTGGCATCTAGGCCAATGACAGCAATAGGTTCAGCCATCTTTTAGCTAAGATAGAAATGGAGCCGGACTGTTGCTCTGACTGTGGCTCCTCTGGATCAAGAAGGAGCAGTGAAAAGCGAAGAGGGTGTTCTCGCGCTCAGAAGTCTAGTCAGAAGTTTGTCCATGAAGTGAGGAAATTCCGAGGCTTAGGTATGGTTTTAGTAGCATTACCCCATAATTTTCCACCCTTTAGACCTTCAGCAAGGGTCTTGACTCTGCGGCTGTGAGTTGACGTGTTCACAAGCACATGACGAGTCAATTTCTACACGATGTAACAGAAAAGTTAATTATAGGGGATTGATCAGACTCAGGGGTATACTCCAAAGATTGGCATGATTCAGACGTATATATTGGTGTTGGTTTTTCACCGATTAACCGATGGGATATCCCGAGTTCGCAGTATCACGAAGTGTGGGAAAGTGTGGTTAATTAGTGGTTGTTGATAGTTGACTAGTTAACAAGGTGAAGTGGGAGCATAAGTGTGGCAGCACCCTTGCGTATGGGCAAGGGTGGGGGATTCTGCCGGTAGGCGGCGTGTCACGTGACCCACCGCCTCCGGCCGCATCACCCATATGCCAACAATTGGATTCCTTCGAGAACAAAGAGGGGTTTTCTATCATACACATGGTCTAAGGGTACTTATCCAATGCTGTCCATTATACTATGGTATGATGGTGGGTAAGTAGAACCTCTGGGGCAGGTATAGTGGGTTGTGGTCCACATATATCGGGACTCTGACTGGCCAGGCTTTTGCTAAATGTGCATAAGAATGTCGAAGTACCAAAGCACTCGAAGAAGCTGGGTCACATTGGCGGGGGGGGGGGGGGGGGGGGGGGGCGGGTTACATTTGCCCACTACTAGCACAACTACTCCCACAGCTGCTACAATAGGTTATACAGCCTTTAACATAATGAGAGAGTGACGTTCACAAGGCACTGATGAGTTCCTTCAAGTTACTTGCATTACATATATAGGGGAAAACTAAAGAAGAAAAACTATTTTGCTTATTTTCAGATAACTGAAAGGTAGGGCTATGAGGTTCCCGAGAACTAGCTGCCTTTTTGGTCCCCCGAGTTCATAGTAGGGTAGTAACACAGTAGGAAACACAATATAAGCATCTTAATGTATTACAATATATACAAAGCAGGTTTCTAGCATAAAGTACGTGTGCGTGGGGTACGTATATACAGCGATAATCATTGATTCATTGATCGCATGTGTTATGGGTATCCAGATGGCTTTGTGTTCCCACTGTCCCAAGACTGAATGCATGTGTCATCGGATTTCCTCCATTTTGGCTGGGAAAACCTATTCCCGCAATGTTACCTATATTTACCTTGTGGGGCAGGCAGCCACTACGGCCCATTGGAAGATATGGGGCTGCAGGGTAACTAAATTACGTACCTAGTCTCTATGGAGTATGATATACGTTGTCGTTCCATGCGCAGTGGGCATATGGACTCAGAGGTACACTGTCAACTTGTCCCACAAGGTGGCGATGTAAGCCACAACTGTGCCGTAGCAATCGTGAAACCACGTTTATGCCTCATCCTATGCATCACAGTTATAACCCTAGCTTTACCTAACCCTGACTCTGTGTCTAAATTGGTTTAAGGTTGTCCACATAGATAAGCTATCCCCTCACACCGACACTCGAATTCAGTGAAGTCCGTAGACAGATTCCAGTCACCCCACCTAGGTAGGTCAAGTAGCAACTACCTGGGGTGGTGCGAATCTGGGGAGATGTGTTACAAGGTAATACAACTACGATTATAGCATAGCAACCGTAGATCCTTTTTTGAGTCAGTTTTACGACTTGCTATTGCGAGAGGTCAGTCATGTGACCCATTGCCCACCGGCAGAAAAGCTGCCCCATCAACAACAGGGCCCCATCACCTACCATTGCCCACTTACTTCACTTGTTACTTTATAACTTGACAACTAACTATCAACAACAACAATTGACCACTCTTCGCATTACTTGTGATACCACAACAATCGGGATATCCCTATCGATTGTTTAGTGAAAAACCAACAAGTCCCTTTTTCTAGCGCTCCTTTAGGTTTATAATAAGCGCTTATTTAGAAGCAGGATAAGTGCCTTTTTATAGTAGTTATCTACTAAGTGCTTATTCTTTACCTCTTATCTTGCTTGCTTATGTTACGTAACCTATACTGTAGTTCTTCTGTCTTAGGGAGTTACCTACATGCTAACTTGCTTGTCCTGTTAGTAAAAGAGCGAGTCGCCTACGCCTGCTGTGCCTAGTGGGGCAACACTGCCTGTAACTTGTCGGGTTGTAACACATCCCCCTGGTAGATAAATAACTGAATCATGACAGCAATGTACATACCATTTAGACTTCGCAACAGCATATTACCCCTGAGGAGACCCTTACTCTGATCGGCATCGGACTGGAGACCCTTACCCTGATCGGCATCGGACTTTTGCCTGGCTGTTACATTACCATCATACGGAGTACTTTATGTTATGGAATCACGGCCAATAAAAAGTTTCATGCAGTGGGAAGGAACTACGGATAAGCCAGCCAAAAGCCGTCAAAAGCTATCAAAAGTCTGGCCAGAATGCCAATATCAAAAGTGTAGTATTCCAACCTCAGTATCTAGAGATCCTTTCTTATCAAACATATACAGAGTATCCGTATAGGGGTGCTAGTGCGGTATTGTCATGTATCTCCGAAAGTGAGGGGTAAAAGTGGGGATAGGTCCACCAAGAGGTTAATGAGGTCCGCTCGCAACTAAAGGGATAAGGTTAGTCTTCAGGGGCTCATTTAGGGTGAGTCTACAGACAAGCTGATAGTGTCCCCCCCCCCCCCCCCCGAGTCTATAGACAAGCTGATATTGTCCCCCCCCTGTCAACCCGAGAGTACCGTGCACAATACCAGCGATAACAGCAATAAATCTCATATCCTAAAGGCTGCAGGTTCAAATCCAGTTTAAATCCAGTTTTCTTAGATCTTTTTAATTCCAAAACGGCTCCGCCGGGGAGGGTTGGAATGGTACTAACCCACCCTGCTTCCTACGCTGCGCTCCGGGTCAGGATGGGCCAAGACCATCCCTTTTGCCTCTAAGATAGTTGTGTTATCACCTGAATCCACTGTCTGCTGGACTCTGCATAGACCAGTGTGCACGGTACCGTATACACTCGCTAGGTTCACAAGCCGCACGGATCACCCACTAAGCCTATTTTGCAAGGCGGTCAACCAGCTTAGCCACCCACCCACCCATCCAACCCTAACCCTTGCCACCTAACTTGCTGCTAACGTTGACTAACCCCTGCATTTGCCACTTCTAGATCCCTGTTTCTGCCAGTCCGCTAGCCCCTATCCAGCAGCCCGTGATCAGTGCGGTTTGTGAATCTAGCGAGTGGATACGGTACTCTCGGGTTGACAGGGGGGGGACAATATCAGCTTGTCTGATTACTCCCCCCGCCCTGTCAGCCCGAGAGTACCGTGCACGATAACAGCGATAAGCCTCATATCCTAAAGGCTGCAGGCTCAAATCCAGTTTAAATCCAGTTTTCTTAGATCTTTTAGGCTCTGATTGGCAACGGCAGGAATATTAGATAATGCGCTAACTTGGATAACGTGAGGGGAAATATTAGTTAGAAACTGAATAAATACAGCGCTAGGCTAACAATGGCCCCTTTTTCATTAGCAGAGTTTGCCTATAAGAAACCTTGCTATTTTAACATGTACCTAGATAAGAATGACTTTTCTGTTGCCTAAAAGAGGGGAAATATTAGATAACTACCCTACTGCTACCTATTTTATTATAAGGTCCTTACAAGGTGCCTATAAGCTATCTAATACTTAGATATAATAATAACTAAGCAAGGGTTAGGGTTATATACTACTAAAGTGTAATAAAATATATTTAATTTACTTTTTAAAACTAAGGTTAGGGTTTTAGGGATAGTATAGTACATCTTGCCTAGCTAAGGTTTAACTTAATATACTTATATAAGCAGTAAGAACTCCTTATTTGAGGTACAGGCTGTTATCTAACTTTGCCGCCGTTGCCAATCAGAGCCTTAGTTCCAAAACGGCTTCGCCGGGGAATGTTAGAACAGTATTATAGTACTAACCCACCTTGCTTCCTACGCTGCGCTCTAGGTCGGGATGGGCCAAGACTATCCCTTTTGCCTCTAAAGATAGTTGTATTATTACTAAATCCACTGTCTACTGGACTCTGCATAGACCAGTGCGCACGGTACTCTCGGGCTGACAGGGGGGGACACTATCGGCTTGTCTGATCACTTATTTAGGGTTAAGTCGACGATTATCTAATCTGAGATGTAGCGCTGTGTACTGATACTGTTGGCTGGGAGACAGTGCTTCTTCCGCCTTGGCATTCTAACTACGGAGTACTCCGTAAGGATTTTTGATAGGCTCCTATGTATGGTCTTTAACATATGGATTACCAGACTACTGCATAGACGTCTCTATCCCTGTAGTTGCGAACGGACCCCACTAACCCCCGTGAGGGGTAGGAGCAAATCAGGCCGCAGCATTTAACGCCAAAAGCCAATAGTTTCGAGCTACTTCTATTCATATGGCGTTTTGCCTATGCCAGAGGTACCAACAATCTCTACCTTTACATAAAGGTACATTATAGTCTAAGTAGCCCTGCTAGGTCCTTTGTCGCCGTAGGCCCAGATCTACTAGAGGCTCATTAGGCTAGATTGTTACGTTATTGACATATTGCATTGCTCCAGGATACAGTTATCTAGGCAGGCAACAGCAAGGTTCTCTAGTAGGACCTCCACGTGAATAGTGCTATAAGTAGAGGATTCTAAGTTAGAAGACATTGTGATTTTAATTATGATGTTAGTGATAATGTTGAAATAGGTGGTACTTGCTAGCAAAATAACATTCTAAATTAATGTATCGTCATGTATGTCCGAAAGCGAGGGGTAAAAGTGGGAATGGGTCCACACAGGGGTTAGTAGGGTCCGTTTGCAACTAAAGGGGTATGACATGTTCCATTCCGAAGTTTCCATTAACTTTGGAACCAGGTCTTTCTCCATGGCGATCGCAAAAGTTTCCGGACGACTGTACAGGCGCATAGATCAGGACCACGCCTGCCGTAAGCAGGTCTTCCCACATGTGTCGATATGTGATTGGTTTCGCGAATCCAAAGTCGAAGCTACTGACATCAGCAGAGCGGTGGTCGGTAAAGAACATGCTCATTGGCGGGTGCGAATCAACACGCAAGCTGATTGTTCGCTTATCTCTAATGGGCGCTATGAAATCGATCAGGCGTTCCACATGCTCTTCAGTGCAGCTTTCCGTTAACGCTCGGATATAGCTTGCCAGCTTCGAAAGCGGTGCGTCAGAGATGACCTCTCCAGGCGGAAGAGGCGGCACTGGCGCGGTGTCGGAAAATGCGCCTGCAACAGCATCACGCATGAGTCGGTCTGGAACAGCAGGGTTGTGTAAACGAGGTCGCATGTTCACCGCTTTGCCCCACCAGAGGGGGCTGGAAGAATCAGGGTTGTAGACAGGAGCGCGTATCTTGGACAGCATCCGCCAGACGTATGCGCACATGGCGTCGTATGTTGAGATCCAGGGAGCCTCCGTACCTGTTGGCATCGCAAGCTTCTTCAGCTTGTCAGCTTTGCTTTTGGGCAAATGGAACAGCACAGCTTGCTGCATCTTGTGATCAGGATGCTTTGGTGCAACTGCAGGTCTGTTGACGAGGCTATCTGCTGGCAGATTCTTGGTGAAGCGCGAGACGTCGACGTTCGCGGGGTTGCAAATGGGGAAATTAGTCGAGCGTGTAACCGCGTGACAGTTTTCAGGAAGCTGACGAGTGAAATCACTTTACCCCATGAGATCGCAGGAATAATGGTGATTGTGCATACTGAAGAGAAGGCCTCCTTTCAACAGATTGAGCTGGTACGCTGCGACTACTGGGCTGTTGTCTGGGTCGGCCTCTGGACTCTCCTCCCCCCAAGTTAAACCAGGGACACCTGTTCATAAGGAATGTTAGTTGGCGTCGGAATATAACGGAGGTGGCGGGGAAGGTGGGCAAATCAACTGCCCCAAGACGATGTAGGACAAGGGAAAACACTCGATAGACTGACTCCAGAGATTGATATCTTGCAGGCTATGACCAGAAAAGTAAGACTGCTCAATGTCGTCCAGAGAAGGGTAGTTGCCACGAGGATCTAGCTGATGGACAACAAATTGCACAGTGGACTCCTTCCTTTTCACGAAAGAATAGCCACCCTCGATATCTTCCAGCGGTGGTTTCCTGTCGCGCCACTAAGCGTCGCTCACAGGACCGATGAAGATATTGATTACTGAGAGTTTCACATTCTAAAGGGAGCATGTTTGCTACCGTCTATTTGGTGGTTCTTGCATGATCCCTAGACGTATTCGGATCCGTCCTCCTTCAACCCTGATAGATATCTAGCCCCTCGCAATGAGCCGGGCCCTGAAGACCAAGTCTTTGGATACGGTCGTAGAGTCTGCCCGGGTAGGGACCTAGCTGACGAGAGCATCTTCATCACCGTTGCAAGTCTCTTGGCGACATTTGACATCAAGAAGGCCGTGGACGAGTTGGGCAACGAGATTGATCCAGAGCTCCATGGCACGAGCGGCTTGATTATGCGCCTGTTAGATTTTCCTTACAGCATCACGCCAAGAAGTGCGAAATCAGTGCAGCTTATACGGTCTGTCGAAACGAAGCATCCGCATGATGGTGACGATGCCAGGCTCGTGCAGGATGTTTTGGCAAGCCGATTGTGAATGCAACTGGATTCCAAAGGAGGGCAATGGAATTTGGGCTTCTGAAGTATGGGTTAGGACACATCTTGACGGCCGGAAGAAGAATTTCTGAATAGAAGGTGTGGCACTCATCGCCTTCAACAACAGTAATCAGAATACAGTCTCCATAGATATTCAACATGTCCTTAGACTAGTTTTCCTTTCTTGTTCTCGTAGTTTCCAACCACCCGTGTGAAGATATCTGGACTCGTGGGCTTGTTCTGGATGCGCTGCTGCACCTGTGCCAAGATCCAAGTCGTGAACTTACTGACGCCGATGTTCCACATTGACATGCTACGATAGAGTCGCAGCGCGCAAATTATATTTGTGAATCTTTCCACAGTTTTTATTTTGTCGTGTAGGGCGTTCATATAGAAGTGTTCGACGCCGCCCTCAAGCATGCAGAAGCTGTGAACAAGGTAGAAATCACCCATGACATCGAAATTGTAGAAGTTGAACCAAAGAAACACGTTGAAATCTGTTTCAGCACTGACTTCAATGTCGGCTAGGAGTTTATTGGTGTATTTGAGAACTCGGGGCTCATGGTCACGCAGAGCTGTCGCAGTTTTGGCTTCAACACATATACGCATAGGGCTATTGAGTTCTGACATTTTGAGATGAATCCATATTCCCATGATTTTCGACACTTTGAATGTGCTTGCTTATCTCGGACGATTTTCATCGAGGCCAGGGGAAGCAGGAGATTGTATCAAGGTTCCTCTTCATACAGTCGGTATCGAGGAAGACGGCATCGGTGACACCGGGCTTATCCATAAAAGGTTCGGTGGGGCCAGCCCAAACTATATCCCATACTTCTTGTGAAGTTTCCAAGCATACTCATATAGATGTATTTTGTTCCAGATCTGACAATTTATGTAGAGGTTCGTAAACCTGGCCAGGAATGGCCCTAGTAATCTTGGCTGTTGATGAAAGAGACCTCACTGCCCGATCATATTTGAATAAATACCTGATATGATCAGTGACAATAAGATATCCACGGTCCCAAAGGCATCGGTTAGTTGCACCGTTTCAACCGGATACGATATCAAAGACCTCAGTATCGGCAGGGTCATTGTCGTGCTGACAGCCGTAAGATATGCCAAGAGAAAACTTTTGATAACACGCTGCGCTGGGAGATCACGCTCGCCGTATTGAAACGCGCAGAGATGAAGCAACATTCTGATGAAAAACGAGAGCTTATAAGATCGGGTTTCCAAGCACGTCGATCGCGGACATCGTAGTTCGCAATTCGCCTTCAATTTATTAAGATTCAGGGCGATCATCACTGAGCAACTGATGCCTTTCTTTATGTTACGCCAGACCAACTCAACTCGCAAGGCTTCAAAGACTACCCCAATTTCACTGTCTAGAGCTGCCGATCATTGTACGTGGTGGCGGTACTTCCCAGCGAGGACGAGACTCAAATGAAGTGTTACAGTACTATGGCGGCATAATGGAGGAACGAGACCAAGATTGTACGTGCCATCTTACTCCATTCTAGACAAGATCCATTAGATTCATATGTTTTGGGCGGGCATTAGCTGAAACTTGTCGTGACTTGCCACATCGACGCGTATCGTCTCAAGTCAAGGTAATAGGGTCCATATATTACGCCTCCGAACGTCTAGAAGCTTCAAGCTGCTATCCTCGACCGATACATTAACCCACACAGGAAGATCAGTATTAGTAAGTAGTATGCAAAAAGTGAAGGTCGTATATACATATAGATGTTCCATAGTCCAAAACAGTGGAATAGGTCCATCCAGGATTCGAACCTGGGCCTACGGAAGGATATGATTGTGAAATCAGAATCCGACGTCCTAACCAACTAGACTAATAGACCACACACCCTGAGCTCAAGCTCAGCTGACTTGGACAGGTGCAGCCCTATTTATGTGGGACGATATGCTGAATTAAGCCCTCATGTGGATACGAAGAACATGTTTCTTAATAATTAGCCAACTTGGTCAACTCGGCAGCTATTACAGTATTCCCGCCGCTCCTATTGGAAGAAATCAGGTGGAAGTTAAAACTACGATTAATGATAATAGTAGCGGGTGCTGGTCGTCGTGAGCTGCCCATGAGTAGTAACCTGGCTGGGATATCCACCCTTGCTTCCAGCCTCTTCATTATCAGCTTCGGAAATAAGCCTCCATGATAACATTTTCCACTAACAATTAAGATCCAGCCGTGTACACGGATAACTCCCTTGGTGAAAAGCCGCAGATTATCCGAACTAGACCCCGGCAGATCATCGTAGCGCCAACGTCATTTCTTGTTTACGTGTTGCGCTGCTTCCCCCCCCCCCCCCCCATCACTTTATCTTGCGTATCCGAGACCGTAGAAGAGGCCGAACCTTTCAGCCTTTGAGGAAAAGATGGTCGGTCAATCAGACGGCAAGACCTCGCCGTGGCTGTCCCTCGCCGCTGGAGGCATTGCCGGCGGTGTGGAAATGGCGTGCACATACCCTTTCGAATTCGCCAAGACGCGAGTGCAACTCTACGGACACCAAAAGGGATCGCGGAATCCATTTGCGATTGTCTTGCGCGTTGCTCGCGATGAGGGGTTGTCGGCCCTGTACAAGGGATGCAGCACGATGATCCTGGGCTCCATCGGCAAGGATGCCGTCCGGTTCGTCGTGTTCGACAGCATCCGCTCGGTGTTCCAAGACAAGGAAACGCATACCATGAGCCCTATGCAGAGCATAGCTGCTGGAATGGTGGCTGGCATTGCGAGCAGTACAGTCATCGTAACGCCAAGCGAGCGCATCAAGACGGCGCTGATCGATGACGCCAAAACAACAAAAAGATTCAAGGGTGCGATACACTGCATCAAGACACTTACCCAGGAGCAAGGTGTGCTCAAAGCTTTGTGGCGAGGATACATCACGACGACTTTGAAACAAATCAGTACCACGGGTTTCCGACTTGGCAGCTACAGCATTATGAAGGACTTTGAGCGATCGCGAGGGATTAGCCCCGACGGTCCGATAATGAGCTTCGCCAACGGCGCCCTTGCCGGGACTGTCACCACAATCGCGACGCAGCCATTCGACACAATCAAGACGAAAGCGCAGCAGGCAAAGGTGGTCGGCACAATGGAGTCATTCCGAACGATCATGTCTGAAGACGGAGTCAAGGGTCTCTGGAGAGGCACTGTCATGCGCTTAGGCAGGACGGTGATGGCGGGCGGCATTCTGTTTACGGCCAACGAAGAAGCTATGAAGGTTCTGAAGGTTCTTACAGGTAAATGATTTCACCCGATGAAATAGAGGGGCCGGGAGATGTACACATTAGACAAAGAGGGCATGAAAACGAACGGCACGAAACTTCACAGATGTATGAACAACCCGCAGATAATAAAAATCACAACAAAGCTATCTGGATCAAGGTAAATATAGATTTTGGCAGCAATTCATTATGATTGTGTTGGAAAATAAGGATGTAGTCGTGGCCAAGGACATGACGCAGGCCAAAAATATTGCAGACAGTGACTGTCCACCAGACTAGGCTTTTTACTGCGTCATGGTCTTCATTGTTCGTCATGAGACTCATTCCCCGTGGACGCCTATGTCTCTCAGATGGGAAATCACCACTTTACCTTTACAGTTCCTCCTTGCCTTCTCCAAGCACGACAGCCATCTCAACATGGAGTCGCCCCAGCCCCGTGTGTATTTGCCTTCCAACGGAAACACACCTGCCCAGTAGCCACTCCAAAAACACACATTGACCTCAGAATCGCTGCTCCAATCAACTGATGACTCCTCGATCCTGCTCTGTTCCGTAAACCTCCCTACCAATAACCAGTTCAGCACATCCGGGAAGTCTTTAGCAGCGGTAACCGCACTCCTCCAACCCTCGTTTTTCTTATACTGTATCCTGGCACCTGCGTAAACTAGCAACTTGACGATGTCAATCCGTCCCATACTGGCTGCGGCCATAAGTGCCGTTCCAGCCGCAGAGCCTTCGAATTCGATGTCACATCCCTCCCCTAGCAGAACTTTGACTTCGTCTACAAGTCCATAATGGGCAGAGAAGCATAGAATATTAAACGGTTCATGACCGTCATCTGCTTCAATCTCAGATATCTGGCGCATAAAATCGTGGCCTAGTCTGCGGTACATCAGCCGCAACTGCCTGTGCATTGAGTTGACAACATCAAAATCGTAGAAATACCATAAGAGCTTCCACGGCACTCTTCCTGGTTCAAATGTACGAAGAAATGCATGCTGGTCGGAGTTCAGGATGTAGGTCGCAAGTTGAATTTTGAACAACATAGGTGTCCAGAGTGGTGTTCCAAAGCCCCCGATCTGATTGAGATTAATGCCGGCTTTTTGTAGCGATATGGCCATATTGACTGAGGCGCACATCAGTTTTGAATTTGACTCGAGAATACGGCTGATACTAGCCCCCTTGTCGAGGAGGAATTCGACCATTCCGGGACTGGCATAACGGACTGCGACCTCAACGGGGGTACGACCTTGACCGTCTCGGATATGAATAGAAGCCCCGTGGTCAGTGAGAAGTTTGACCATTTCCAAGTCATCCGCCTCAACTGCTATGTGTAGCGGGGTCATTTGAGCCGCGTTTTGTCGGTTGACATCAGCTCCGTACTGCAGAAGGAGTCGTGCAATATCCGCGTACTCTTCCTCCACAGCATCGTGTAATGGCGAGTAATCACAATACCGGTCCGGGCGAGTTGGAACCTCGTTGACAAGATCTCTGACCAGATTGAGCCCTCCGACAGTGCCCAGTTCTGATACGTAGGATAACAATACTGCGAGGACTTTGCAGGAGTTCCTATCGATAGCAACCCGGACCGCAAAAGAGTTGTCCAAAAGCCACACCATGTCTTTCTGAGGAATGAGACGAAGCCACGCCGAGACCTCTTCTGGGAGGTTGTACTCATACATGAGGAAGTCAAGACATGTGGACCCCCGTATTGGCCACTGAGGTGTCTTATCTTCGTCGCTGTCGGACGTTGAGGACCAGGAGTACGTATCAGTGCTACTGTTGTCAAAGTACCGAACACGCGAATATGTGGTCAATCCATGTCGCGCACAGGAAGCGGCTCTGAAACTTGCACCTCTTGCGATGAGTGTATCAACAATTTTGGTCGGAATTGTCTTACGCGAGAAGGCGAAGACGAGGGCTGTGCAAGTGTGGCAGGATCTGATCTTTATATCGGGCGGGCACCCCTCATTGAGAAGCCGTTCACAGACTTGATAATTGTTGTCTTCAATGGCATCTTCCATTACTTTTGACAACGACGCCATTAGATGTCTTTGAACCCGTTCAGTCTCATTTTTTGTCGAATCTGTCGGGACTCTTCGGAGACTTGATTTGACCATGTCTATAATTCTTTTGCTCTTTCTCTTCATTGCGACATCCAGTGGTGTTTCTCCCTTAGTGGTTTTCAAGTGATCGACACCTAGTTCGAGGAGAAGCGCGACAGTCGTTTCGTCTTGGTGCAGAAGAGATATGTGCAACGGAGTCAGACCTGCGGAAGTTTGAGCATTGATATTGCAACCCCGAGAAACCAGGATTTTGATAGTGTCCGTCAGCCCGAAGAAAGCGGCGAGGTGCAGAGGAGTGGAGAGATCTGCCGCAGTGACGTCGAGATTGGTGGCAAAACCACGGTCAAGTAGGAATACGACCGTGTCCGGCGATGCAATCGCTGCTAGATGCAGAGCCCTGATATCTTTGAACGACTTCGCCCCAAAATTCCAAGCTGCTAATGTTACTCGAACTTTAAAGTCCCAGATGGGTTCTGGACAATGAGAAGCGGCAATGTTCTCGAGTAAATCAACGTATCCGTAGGCACATGCCCATGATACCGGCGTCCAGCCGTTCACGTCCGGAACATGCAAGGTCTGATTTGCGCCATGACGAAGAATCAGCTTTGCTGTATCGACATGGCGGAAGCTTATATGCGTGCTGAGGGGCGAGAAGTGACTTCTGGTGCTGAGAACCTGACAGTCGACTTGTTCCAGCAGCAAACGCTGTACCAAGTTAAACTTCTGGTTTTCGAGCGGTTGTCTGGCCTGCGCGAATCCTGTAGTACCGATTCTGGAGTATCCCAGGTGTGGCGGCGGCGGAGGGGGCAGGTTTGGTGTTAAAGCCATTGTGGAGCGGAAAGTTGGGCATCCAAACAAGTTGATACCGCGACCATCCGGTATCCCGAGCCGATGAAGCAAGCCCAGGCCTTCTCCAGAAGGCGTCAACTGGTTGAGATCAGCCTTTTCGACTTTCTCGAGCATCTTGACTAGCATTCTATGCCTGTTAGGACTACTGCCGTTGGAACATAAGAACTCCAACGCATGAAGTGAATACTCTCGTTTGCAGACATTGGCTCCGCCTTGAAGAATATTGTCAAAGAGAAACATGGAATCGTATAAGATGGCCCATTTCAGAGCGGCAACATCAAAACCACTGTTTTCCAGATAATCTCGTTGGGTCGTGGAGTCCAATACGATGATGAATAGGTCTTCAAGGATGGACACGTTGCCGTTGACTCCTGGGGGCTTTTCGATGCTAAACAGCGCTCGTATCTCTTTCAGTCCAGAAGTGCTGTTGGCTTTTTCATACATCTCCAAGTAACCGTGTTCTATCATAACTTTGACAAGATTCAGAGTCTCCGCAGCATCGGCTGCGTGCTGCTGTGCTATTGTTTTGTCAAGCATTTTGCAAGTGTACTGCCATAAGCTGTGAGCAGCGTTTTCGGTTGCTTGCGCCAGATCTGCCTTTACCAAAGCCACAAGAACTTCTTTGTTATAGTCTTTCAGCATAGTGGTCTCTAGGTATTGTTCAAGAGGGGTTTTTCCTGTTTCAGATCGTTGATATGTGTACGTTCTCAAAAGTTCGTTAACAATTTCAAAGGTGGCGGAATCGTCCAGGCAGTCCAGGGGTGATTCTGTCGTCGGTAGTCGTACCATGTTGCTTGCATGCAGCTCTTTTAGTACCCCGGCCTTCTCGATTTTCGCGAGAAGTTGACATAATGAGGGCTTTGTGCTTTGCAAGATGTCATGTTCCCCAGGAAAAAGGCTGACTATTTCTGACGCATTCCGGTACTGCTCCTTGAATAATGCTTCAGCAAGCGGAGTTCGACCATCTTTGTTGATGATACGAAGGGCGCGTCCACATTCTGTTCGGTCAATGTGGATAAACAGGGTTCTCAACAGACTGTTTGGAGTAAACTTCCCCGCTGAAAGATGCCAAATGGTGTTTCGTCCACTGTTAAATTTGGTTGTAGTACATCCATGCTTCAGGAGGCACACAAGGACATCCACAGACTCATGCTCCGCACAGTCCAACACCATTTGGGATCTTTCATCTTTCTGCTCGTCCGAGGCCACGAAGGTCGTCAGAAGATGGCCTAGACAGGAGACTGACGAGCATGTCGCTGCAAAATGAAGTAGCCTGGTGAGTGTTTCTCCCTCAAGGATACCGCTGCATCGCGGGCTTCTTGACCTCTCTAAGAGTATGTCCAAGTTGTCTTCTGCAATGGCGTTCCACATCTGCTGGATCAGCATGTCGTCCGAGATGCCTTCAGAACAGGGCAAGTTGGTATCGATGTCGGTGTTGTCGGAAACGCATTTCTGGAATGCTTTGAGATATGCAACAGACTCCCCCTCGTTCTTCGCAGCCATGTTGCTGAGCATGTCCAAAGTAGACATGATCATCGCAAACATGCCTTGGTCTTTGGTTTTGGACCATTTCCGGCAAATTGAGCGAAAGACGGCTGTGTCGTCGTCGTAAAGCTGCGCCCCACCCCTAACAACAAGACCGAAGAGCTCGCAATCCCCAGCCCATTCCGAGGCTTTTAGAGACAAGGCACCCATCGTTTTCCAGGAGTGCATATGGTTCGGCAAGCCTTTTGTGCAATCTGCTCCTGATTTGATGAGAAGCTCTACTGTTCTCCGAGACGGTCGCTCCAACCAATCGTTCAGCCGCTTCTGGGTCGACATATTGTGACAGGCGAGGAGGAATGGTCCTCCCAGGGCGCATTGCAGAGGTGTCCCTAGCTTACTTTGGCGATTAACGTCTTCTCCACGGTGAAGAAGCTCTTGGCAGACAGCGTCGATTCCAAGGAGTGCGGCCATGTGCAACGGAGTAAAGTCTCCCCGTCGAATGATCCTTGCGAGTCGTCTTGTTTCGCCTCTATGCCAATCCCCTCTTGGGGCATATTTCCCCCGTCTCCATATGCTGACAGAGTTGTAAGTTACCCAGGTGGCGAGAGAATTGTAAGTTACCCTAGGACTTGAAGTTGAGGTCGCTTCACCAGAGCTATTCAGTGGTGTATTGGTCGATGTACTGCTGACCTGTGTAGTTTCAGAGCACCCAGAGAATTCTTTGTCCTCCAAGTGTAGCGGCGCGATCTCGTCTCGATCATCTCTCCATATGCTCCATGATCCTCGAAGTAGATAGTGGCGGCATACTTCCAGACACCAGGACTTGAAGTTCGGAGTTTGCTTTGGTTCAAACAGTACCATTGACTCGGCAAGAAGCTCGGAGTCGTCCCGCAGATTAATCGCAATCGTGTGCCATGTCAAAGCAGCAAATCTATAGAAGGGAAACCGTGCATTTCGAGCTTGAATAAAGGTTTCCTCGGACAGGGACAGCTTTGGTAGTCTTGAGAACTGCTCTGAAGAAAGAAATGGCAGCGCAGACGCGGTGAGCAATCGATTGGCTCGTGCCTCGCTAAGAGCGTATTCAGATATATCAGGGTCGGATAAGTCGATGCCGGCAAGAAACTCTTGCACGGTGCAATGAGAAAACTCGAGTCTGCCATTCCACGTCGATTTCCGGATGAAGATGCCGCACTGGCTGAGGATCTCCGACTCGTCAATCTCCGGGTATATCAACATACCAGCATCTTCGGACTCTGGACCTCCTGTGGTTGCTGTTGATAGGGCTTGGCACAGCTCTTGCGTAGTAAGCGGAGGGTTTGAATATGCAACCAACAACAGGGTTGCCTGTATCAAATTTCGGGACGCCGCGCTTTTCTCGTTGAACCCCTTCAAAATAAGCCTGTAGGTGGCTTCGAGAGTGCACGGGAGCGTTTGAAGGAACTCCATCTTCGCATCGCATGACTGTAGTGTGCTCAGGAGGTCTATGTGGCATAGTATCTGCCAGAAGCTATTCGGCGGTTAGAAAACGTGAGTTCTGATAGGGAAAGCGCCTAGTAGTTTGAACGTACCTAGTTTCTGAGCCAAGACAGAGCTTCTGAGTGGTTTTGTCCTTCATTGCTGCGTCGGCGAATTTGAGATCTCCGCAGGCAATCCGCCTCTCCAACTCTGTAGCAGTAAACAGGTGTCGGTCATTTTCGGTATGCGTCATCTGAACCTTGCAGAACCTCCCCTCAAATGAGTTTTCAATGTTCTCCTGTAGCCTGGAAACAATCACCACACGAAGCGCCTCCTCGCCCTGGCAGGCAAGTGAAGCCAAAGACTCTGCAATGCTGGCGGTGCCGCTTCCACATTCATCCAAACCATCAACTACAATCAGAACGTGTTCGAAGAACTTGCACATCTCCCATAAGACAGACTTGAGCCGTTCGATCATGGGTCTTTTGGTTTTTTTCTTGTGTTGGTGCAGCTCTTGGTAATAACCCTGAAGCAGTTTGAAAGCGGCCTGGTTCTGGCGTGCAACCTGGGCAGCGATTGTACTTAGAACGTTGACTGGGTTATGAGTTCGTACATCTGCAAAGCTGCACAGGACATAGACTACCACAGTGTGGTTATGACGTCGTAGAATTGCTTCCCTGATTATTGCGCCGGCGAACACAGTCTTCCCTGCTCCCGCAGGTGCAATGACCCACAAGTGAGACCCCGTTGCATTAGCCCATGAATCAACCTCTGGGCTCTTCCATAGTTCGAAGCTATTCAAAGAGTTTGCCTCTTTCAAGACGCTCTTCAGGCGTGTTGTTTGGTCGAATTCGAGAAAGAAGTTGATGATCTCTAGGGAACCTGGTTCGACTGCGACAACGGCCGCAATGCTAGTGTGCTGGGCGATCGCTTTGCTCTGGTCAACATCCACAACGTATTTCCGGCTGGACAATGTCTGATGCAAGTCACTTGTTGACTCTGCAGACAACCCTCGAGCGAGTGCTTCTTTCTGTTCGTTCAGCTCTTTTGATAGGTCTGTTGTCCAAGCGATCGTAAATGGCCATTTGGGAGTTACATTTTTAAGCTGAGAATCGGCTTTCCGTCTCAATAGCAACCTTTCCAAGTGGTCCAATGTTTTATGGCATGACCTCAGCTGCGATAGGCTTGTTGCAGACACACATTCACAGCCGTGATCGTCTCCAAAGGTCGAAGATAGGAGGGCGAGCTGGTGCAGCAGGCCAGCAATGTTCTGTATTTCGTTGGCGACTCTTCGTATTTCGGTCTGTTTTCTGCTGTCCATCTTGCCGAAATATACCGTCAGCCGGAAAGTGGTATCGGCAATGGCCCGGAGGCCGCTGAGACCATCAGCCAAGATGTTTGTCTCCATGGTCACCCAGGGCTCAGCTGATGACACAGCATCAAGGTGAAGGCCCAGAATAGTGCTCCGAGTTGGTTATTCAAGTGAATTTGAAAGAAAAGGAGATATAACAAGTAAAATCTTTGCTGGGGCCTTGAAAATGGAAAAAAGAGCCGCTCAGTTACCGTCTGTCTGCATGTCAATGCACGTCTGACGTGTTAAGGTTTCCCCGCTTATGTGACAAGCAAATGGCAAACGGCAGCTCATCTAGACACTATTACCAGCTGACAAAAAGTCCCTTGCATAAAGGGCTTCATTGGCCACTGGACTCAAGTGCCTGCTAGTTCTCTATCCAATTGGAAGCGCTCAAATAATCAGAGACGACCATTCTCCCCGGAACTAATATGATGGCTGTATCCGCAGCCTGTCGGGGCAAGAAGTGGGCTCCATTTCAAATCCTCATAACCTTCTTACAACGTGCACTACGTTGCCACATTAGACTATGTTTGGAATGGAATCATAGCTCATGTGATATCACTTTGAAGGGCCAAAATAGCATTCAGTTCTGGAATCCCTCTGCCGGCATGAAAACCAACCAAGCTAATTAAGGGAAGAAAATCATAACGGGCCATCTGCAAACATTTCCTCCACATCTTGCTTCTGCACCTCACGCAAGAGAGCGGATTTCACCAATTCTGCTCTCAGCTCGGCAACTTCTTCGACCCTTCCAAGGGAAGTCGACTCACCCATCAAAACGATGCGATAGTAGAATACGCGTTGTGCCAGAAGTTGTCGTCCCTCTTTCCATCCCTTATCCTCAAGTCTGATAGCCCGTGCCATATTCTCATGGTATGCGCTTAAACATGCCAGACTACCTAAATCCCAGTCTTCCTGAGAGGCTGGATTTTCATCAGCGAGAAAAGAAACGCCACTTTCATACAGGGCATTGTATTCGTTCCTCGGCAAGTCCAGGCTTGGAGCCCGACGTAGCATGGCTATTGTTAGTACGAGATGTTGGTATGAGCTCTCCCCAAAATTTGTAACTGCGTCCTGCATCAAATCTTTCAAGTTGTTCCCGAGAAGTCGGTTATACGTTGCTCGTTCACCGTGGCTGGTTTTAGATCTGGACGCTCGCTGTATTGCTGAAATACTGCTAAGGTTACGTTCTCCACATATTTCCGTATAACAGTCGGCCACTATTCTTTGAATCGATTGTAGAGTGTTGTATTCGACTTGACCGGTCTCCTTGTCAGATAGTTGTTGCATCGCCGCCGCGGCGGCAAGACTAATGGGTCGCCCGGGATATTTGATATCCAGCATATGCAATAGATAGATGAGGTAACGTTGAAGGATCTGCCCTTTGTCTCTTGTGTACATATTCTGTTTGTACATATATTGTGGCATCATGATGAGTAGCTTTTCGTAAAACATGATTGGTTCTGGGCTGACCGCGATGATGTGCTCTAGACTTCTGAATGCTTGACGAAGAAGGGGACCGCAATTCTTGAACTCTCCCGTGGCAAAGAAGTCAAATACCACGCTGAAGTTGTACTTTACAGAGATTATTTTTGAAGAAACACGTCGATATCTAGTCGATAGGCTCCAAAAAATGCTGCGCCGGGCAGCTTCGAGTATCACCTCTCCGATGCTGGCGTAGGTCTTCGCGGTCCATTCGTACAGTCTATTCCCGTAAAGTAATGTTGTGGCAGGTCCTGGGGCATTCTTAGTAAAGTTATGCTTTGAACCATGGTCAGTATCATAAAGCGATTTGTCCTGGAGGGGGACCTGGTGTAGATTCCGTCTAGCTGGTCTCTGATACGTGGCCACGCCGCGGCAGGTCTCGACCAAAACGCTTTGGGCGCGGCTTCTTTGGAGCGCTTTCGTGTTGTACTTCTTCCAGTTCCATCTTTGCAACTGGCGCTTGTACATCCTCTCTCTACCAGCATCAGAAAGTCAGCAACGCAAACTTGGATATATTGGCGTGTAATCTGAGAAGACGTACGTGACCGAGAATGAAAGTTCCTTCGACATAATCTTCATTGTTTGCTTGAGTGAGAGGTTTGCATCTAGGTAAAGACGTTGGATGACATTTTTTTTTTTGGCGTCCCAGTCTTCTTGGTTCTCGGGACGAGGAACCCGGGGCCGAATAAGGGCGATTTGTATCGTCGAGATAGGAACTGAAGCCGAGAAGGGATGAAGTGGAAGATTTTGACGCATGATTGGCGATTCCGGCACAGTGACGAAGCTGGTGCGGTCCGTGGTAATTGTCAATCTGGATTTTGAAGAGTGTAGAAGGATTGACCAAGCACCAACTTTACTGGAAGGAGAATTTGATATATAGACATACCCGTCTATAAAGAGCACATGAACTTATCATATTGCCAAAATATCAAAAAAACAAGGCTGCACCTGCTGCCATCAATCTCACCGCCAATGGGGCCACCACATTGACAGCCGTGGTTTATCCCAAGATGCGAGGTCTTTTTGAGTGTTGACGGTTGCTGATTGGACGTCACACGCATGCTAAGTGAGGACAAGCATCTCAGCCTCCAAGCTCTCCCTCCGGAGGCGGATAATGAAAGGCCCCTACATGGAAGACCAATAAGACAAGGGTGCATGGTCATAGCATTGGTTCCACCTGCTTTGAACTAAAAAGTAGCAAGCCGTTGGTTGCAATGTTGGGAATAATTTGCCATTCGCCCTACGCAGCACCGCTGTTCAAGACTACAGGATCACTGACTGGAGGAATCGTTATCGAGGAGGACCGGATCCAAACTTGAGTGATTTGACTAAATCCCACGGAAGCTACAATACAGTTCAAGTATAGAATTGCCGGATCTTACCTGACCAAGGGCCCCTACTGTAAGGCATGAAGACGTAGATCGAGGCCTCAAGATTCTTGACTGCCTGGGCCGAACAAGTATACCTCGACGGAATCCATCAACATGGGGTTTTCATAACCAGATCATGTAGTATTGGATAGAAAACCGAGCCAGCCCAGACTCAAAGAGGACATTTTTGGGTTGATGAGGAACGAACTGGTTCGCCAGCCGGGATGACATGTTAGCCCCGCCCTTACAGTGTCGCTTGTTGTAGAGACTGTACTACCAATAGACAACTGGCGGGTTAGTACAGTACGAATATCCCTGGTCGTACGGCTGACGTTGAAAGCAGGCAGCGGCTAAGGAGCTGTGCCGCACCTGCACCCAACTGCCGCCGCCTTTGGAGGTCGCTTCCCCCCCTCCATCATCCTCGAACCGCGGATTCCCACCTTTCAATCTCTTTTGACCTGGAACTACGATATCCCGGCTCGTCGATTTGCTTTTCGCTGCTCGGCTTCGACTTTGGATCAGTGGACTCTCTTGTTCCTCCCGGCTTTCGTTGTCGTGTAAGCCAGATATCATCACCTTCAGGCATATACTACAAACCTCGACATGTCCCATTCTACCCCCCAGGCCTCGATGGACGAGCGGCCTAGCAAGCTTCGGAAGCGCACGCACCATGGCTTCCCTTTCGCCACGGCCCCTGTGTCGCCGTCGCCGGGCACAGACAGCTTTGCCTCGCTTCCGCCTCGCTGGCCGCCTGTCGAGTACTCCCTCGTGGACTACTACCACAACGGACCCGCCATCTACGGGGAAAACGTCTGGCCTCAAGGCCATGGCATAGGTCAGATGGACCAAGCCTTTGCAAAACCTTTGCCCGCGGACGACCAGTCAGCACTCACCTTTTTCCCGCCTGCCTCGTCCCTCACCCAACCCTCTCCCCGGGCCTTGAGCACCTTCTCGTCGCCCTCTGTCGTCTCCCAGCCGTCCTCTGCCGGGTCCGCCGTCTCTCCCACCCAAACCGACTTCCCGTACGAGTGGACGACGAGGAGGGCGTCGCCATCCACGACCTCGTCCGTGACCCAGGCGGCTACCCAGCGACCCGTGAGCCGCGCCCAGAGCCGCTTCGTCTGCCTCGGGCCACACTGCGACGAGTCCTTTGACCTGGAGCAAGACTTCACGGCCCACTGCAAGACGGCCCATACGCACACCTGTAACTGGGCAGGCTGCGACCGGCCAGGCTTCGCCACCAAGGACGGCCTCGCCTGGCATGTCAAGCTGGAGCACCTCATCATCTGTCCCGCCCCAGGCTGCACCGAGAGTTCCTTCCAGACCAAGCAGATCCTTGAAAGCCACGTTAGATGTGCCCACGCGGACGCTGGTGGTGACGGGAAAGGCAAAGGAAAGGAGCTTAATACAACAACAGCGATGACGACGACGAAGACAACAACAACAACAACAACAACAGCGACAAAGCCCATGGCCCAGATCATGGCTTCCAGGAGCTCGTCCCATGGCTCCCACGCCGTTGCGGCGCCATCTCAAAACCCCAACGAGGACCGGGCCATCAAGCAGATACTATCTGTGGCCGTTTCCAAGAAAAAGTGCCGCGAGCAGCTGAGGAACGTGGTCGAGAAGAAGCTCAGAAAACAACAAGGTAATGTGTTTGGACGCCTTGTCACTCCCGAGCGTGGTGGCCTTTTTTCTTATCTAACACGGTCCAGGTCAAAACCCACGAACAGCCGACAGCCCGAGCGACTTCTCCCGGGCCCGCCTGTCCCGCCTGACCGAGACCGCAGGCTTCCCCCTCGTCTGGGAACACGGTGTCCTCCCCTTCCTCGTCGAGTTCATCCCCAAATGGTGCGGGCCGAACCACGTCGTCAGCGTCACCCGCGGCAAGACGCCCGGCTCCCGGCGGATCTGCATCATGACCAGGAAAGAGCCGTCCCGGACACGCCGCATCATCATCGCGGCGCACGTCAGGGACCTGCTCCCCGAGAACCACCGGGCCACCGTCACCTTCGCCTTCGTCACCGGCGCCGTCGACCGCATGGTCTGGGCGCGCGGGCTAAGCAGGGAGATGCCGGACGAGGTCTGCATGGCCCGGAACCCGTACTACTTCAAGAGCCCGTGCATGGGCGACAGCATCGGCATCGACGGCACCGCCGAGTTCGAGGAGAGCACATCCACCCTGGGTCCCTGCCTGCTCGTCGGCGGCGGCAGCTACTGGCTTGCCAACTTCCACCCCTTTGTTGACGCGTACCAGCACTTGGCGTCCGTCAGCGTGGAACATCCCTCGCCTAGCGACCGGGCGGGATGCATCGACGAGCGGCACGACACCATGCCCGACACGGACTTCACCATCGGCCACCTCACCGCCACGTCCGGCATCGACCTGAAGACGACCCGCATCTCCCATGACCCCTACTGGGAGGAGTGCGACAAGGAGCCCCCCCTGGTCGTGACCGACTGGATCCTGATTGCCTCCAAGACGCGCCAGGCCAACATCCTCCGCCGGTTCCCCTCCGACACGATGCCGCTCCTGAAGGAAGTCCCCGTGAAGACGACCAGCGCCGTCGTCCCGGGCGCCGCCGTGGTCTCCACGGGGCGCACCTCGGGCCAGCAGCGCGGCCAGGTCTGCGAGATCCCCGCCTACGTCAGCGCGGACGAGAACGGCACCGGCAACGCCACGCGCGAGTGGTTCGTCGAGGAGCCTTACCCCTTTGACGACGAGGAGGGCTGGATCCGCGGCGGCATCGGCGTCGAGGGCGACAGCGGCGCCGCCATCATCGACGCCGACACCAACGCCCTCGTCGGCCAGCTCTGGGGTCGCAACAAGTACTTCGGCGCCGGGCCCCGCCTGACCTTCTTCACCCCCGTCGGCGACCTCTTTGACGACATCCAGGAGCGGTGCGGCCAGCAGGCGCGCCCGCAGCTCCCGCAGTACCGCGACGAGTCCGACTGCTACCCGGTCGACCCCAGCTGCAGGCAGTGCTTCGACCTGCGCACCTACCTCGACAGCAGGCGCAACTCGCGCGAGTCGCTGCGCTCCATCGTCGGCCGCAACAACGAGAGCGAACACGGCGACCTGACGTCGGTCGGGGGCACGTCGGAGCTCGCGACGCCAAAGGACCACAACGCCTTCTGGCCCCGCAGCTCGGGCGTCGAGGAGGTCGGCTCGTCCTTCGCCGGCTTCATGTCGCCGCCGTCGGCCGCCGCCGCCGCCACCGGCGCGGTGTCCTTCGGCTTCACCCAGCAGCCCGGCACCCCGGGCATCCTAGACGTCAGGAGCCCTTACGCCCTCACCCTCAGCGCCGAGGACCTTTACGACGACGAGGGTTACACTCACGCCATGGCAGACGCCATCCCCGGAAAGCGTGCGGCCGCCGCGGTGCCCCTTGCGCGGAGCTCAAGTCAGAATGCCAAGAGGCAGAGATTGCATTAAGCGTGTGTTAATTGTTTGTTTGGTTCGGGTTTGTCGTCTTTTTCTTTTTCTTTTCCTTCATCATATCGGGAGGATGGGGTAAATCAGCCGGGGAACCCGCCTCTCGCCATCTTCTTGGCTCTCTGGTCACGGCGGTTGTGGTTCGCCCGCGAGCCCTTGCTGGCCTCCTTTCTCCTCCGCGCCGCCTCCGTCTCCTTCTCTCCGGTCGGACCCGCCACGTTGCCGCCTCCCCTTCCGCCACCGCCACCACCCCTGCCGCGGCCACGACCTCCGCGACCTCCTCCTCCCCCTCCGCGACCGCCACCTCTGCCTCCCCTCGACGAGCCTCCCCCCTCGGGGTCGGACTCGTCGCCAGCTCGCCACGCCGTCGACGCGATCTCGGCTTGGGCACCGGTGAAGGCCGCGGCGCCGCTGTACTTGGCCTCGAGCCGCCGCTTCTGGCCCGGATTCCTCGAGAGCATCACAGCCCAGCCCTCGATGGCCTCGTCCGTCATGCCCGTGCCCTCCCGCAGCTTGCCCCGCGCCTGGCCCCGCCTTGTCGCGGCCTGCCTGTCGAACACGCCCGGGTCCGCCTGGTAGGCCTTGAACAGCGTCTCCTCGTTGGCGCCCTTCTGGCCGTCCGCCTCCTCGTTGGCGTTGTCCACCGTGCCGCCGACATCGTCGGCATCGTAGGTGTCGTCGCGCTCGTCGTCGTCCGAGTCGAATGCCGCGAGCGCCGACAGGATGGCCGCCTTGTTGGGCGCCGAGGACCTGTCTCGCAGGACGTCGTCGGCCGTCTTCTCGGGGGCCTTTTTCCCGAAATGGAGTTTGGAAACATCTAGGTCTAGTCTGTCTAGTTCGTCATCGTCAAATACGTTATGCCGCTGTGGTAATTGCGGAGGTGTCGGTCTGGGTTCGAGCTGGCTCTTTCTTCTCTCCAGCCTGGGCGATCTGGGGGGCGTACGTTAGCAGTAGACCATGGGTGATAGGTGAGAAACAATAGTGAATGGAAAAGAAATTGAAAAAAAAAAAAAAAAAAAAAAAGAAGAAAACCAATTCGAAATGAAGATGGAAAAAGTGCAACAATAAACGTACAGCTGCGCGGCGCGGTCCGCCGTCGCGAGGTGCGGGGGCAGCGAGTCCTCCAGCAGGTGCGCCGTGACGACCTCGGTGTCATCGCCGTACTCGTCAAACAGCTTTGAAATGAAGGCGGATCCCAGGTCGGGGAACAGGTCCTGGATGAGGGAGATCTGGCTCTGCCTGTGTATGTGCAGCTCGGCGCCGTCGGCGACGGCGTCGTTTGCCTTGCCCTTGCCCTTGTCGACCCTGCGCTTGACGAGCCTCTTGGGGGGCCGCATCATGCCGCCGCCGCCGGGCTTGCGGAAGCCCTCGAGGGCGGCGATGCGCGACTTGAGGGCCGTCGAGGCGGCGCCGGCGACCTCGGCCCTCTTGAGCAGCTGGCGCAGCACGGGGGTGACGGTGACCAGCTCGGCGACGAGGGAGTCGTTCACGCCGAGCGGGCCGGCGCGGTGGGTCTCGGCGGCGGTCTTTAGGGAGAAGAGGACGTCGGCGAGCATGCCGAAGCGCGGGGGCTCGGCGGCGGTCAGGCCGACGAGGCCGAGGTAGGCGGCGGCGACGAGGACCTTGCGCAGGGGCGGGTTGGTGATCTTGAAGGCGGAGACGAGGCCGTCGAGGAAGTCGCCGCCGGCGAGGAAGAAGGCAGCGGCGTGAGGGGATGCGTGCAGGAGGTGGTTGAGGGAGGCGAGGCGGGCCTCGAGCGACTTGAGGTCGGCCTTGAGGCCGGCTTCGAGGGACTGAGCCAGGGACTTCTTGAGGCCGGCCAGGGCTTGCTCGAGGGCGTGGCCGTGGAGGGTGAAGGCGCGGGAGAGGACGGGCGGGGCGCTCCTGCGGTACAGCTTGCTGAAGGCGGCGAGGAAGGGCGGCGACGTCAGCGCGACGGGGGGCGGGTGGGACGGCGTCGTGAGGAGACGGGAGGCAAGGGCGAAGGCTGACCTGAGCAGCGTCCTGGAGTGGGCGGAAGGGCTGAGGACGGTCGAGGGCCCCGCTGGTGCGTCCGCGAGCTTGGTGACCAAGGAGGAGAGGAAGGGCGGGACGGAGGAGTCCTCCTTGGAGGCGGCCTTGGCGAGCTGAGCGTCGGGGAGGGTGAGGTAGGCCTGGGTGAGGGTCGCCCAGGCGTCGAGGAGAGACTCCCAGTCCTCCGGGGTGAGCTTGGCGCGCCACTGCGAGGACGGGAAGGGGGCGAGGGGCGGTAGAGAGGTCGCCATTTTGGAGGGAGGGGATTGCGCGATGAGTTTGGCAAGGGGTTATTAATGCGGGTGAGACGACGGAGAGAGAGAAAGAGAGAGAGCTCCACGGAAGAGCTTGTGGTCGTGTCTTTATCGTGAATCCATCCGGGGGTTATTGTTCTGGTTGTGTTTGAAGAAGATGGCGTTTTGGAGGTGAGATGAGATGGAGGTGAGGTGAGTGAGAGGAGGTGTCTGAGATGAGACAGCTTTCATGACATATGCAGTGGATGTCGTTCCTCGCCGGATGATTCATTGACGTCGGTTTCCCGGGGGAGGGGCGCAAACGCAGTGAGCCTTTCGGCGGAGCTTGACGCGGCGGGAGTGGGGGGGAGGGGCCTGTCCTACCTGTCCTGTGCTGTAGGTAGTCGGTGGGGGTTTCCCTTGGGTCGTTCAGATGGTAGGCGGGAGGGGTACGTATCTTTTTTTTTCCCCTCGCAGGGTACCGCGCTAGTACTAAAATAGACTAGCGACATTCTTCTCGGTAAAGCCCTACCTCCAATCCCCACGAAAAAGTTCGCGATCACGCCCAGGCCCGGAACTTTTCGACTTTTTCCCACTCCAAGCTTTCGATAGTCATCATCCTTCATCACTTTGCCGCAACCAAAGCCGTTCGAGTCGTGAAGGAAAGAACCCCCCTCGCTCTTTCAATTCCCCTACCCATTAAACCAACAAGAAAAAACCACCCCGTCCAACCGACAACAAAAACAACCAAACATGTCTTACAACAAGGACAAGGACTTCGGCGAGGCGCCCAAGACGCACAAGATCCGCATCACCCTCTCCTCCCGCAAGGTCCAGTCCCTCGAGAAGGTCTCTGCCGAGCTCATCGAGCGCGCCAAGTCCAAGGACCTCCGCGTCTCCGGCCCCGTCCGCCTGCCCACCAAGACCCTCAAGATCACCACCCGCAAGACCCCCTGCGGTGAGGGTTCCAAGACCTGGGACTGCTTCGAGATGCGCATCCACAAGCGCCTCATTGAGTACGTCCCGCCGCCGTCCCCTCCTCTTCTCACACTCGGCATCATTCTTTCTTTCCTCTTCTCAACATGCTAACGTTTCTCCCAGCCTCAACGCCCCCACCGAGATCGTCAAGCAGATCATCATCAACATCGAGGCCGGTGTCGAGGTCGAGGTCACCATTGCCGCATAAGCGGCGGGTGCTCCCCAGGGGACGAGAGGGACGCGAGGTGCTGTTGTTATTGTTGTAAAAGGGACGGACGGAATGGGCTTTTATGGCTTGGGAATTGCCGCGCCGCGGGCGGGTGGGCGGCGAGGGTGCCGAAAGGCCCCTCGTCCTCCTCTACCCGGCAAGGGCGGCGGGACGAGCTGCGAGGTCTAGATACCACCCGAATCAACTGATGACCACCAAACAAAACAAAATACCTGGAATTGCGCCATTGTGATGTATCGCTCTACCCATTAGGTATAGTATTGAACGCCCCTAACGCAATGAGCCCTCCTCGGATAAAATAAACGTGGCCATGATGGGACGTGGGATGGTGCGCTGAAATAGATGTTGAATATTTGCCAGTAGTAAAGAACATGGTGCTTGCGCCTATCTACGGCGCAGGTGGCACTTATTATATCATCTGCCCCGGGATGTCATATCCCGTCCCCTTTTTCACTGATTAATCCTTTTTTTCTTTCATCAACGCCTTGCAATGCCAGTTCCTTTATAAGAGTGCAGAGGTGGTAATCACGCTGGTCTTCACCTCACCTCACCTCGCCTCACCCCCATCACAAGTCCCAAAGACAAAACTCCCGCTTCGGCGGCAGCTCGGGCATCAGCCCCTCAAACTTGCCCGTCTGCATGAACGCCTGCCACTGCTGCCTCGACTTGTCATCATAAGCCTCGTCGGGCAGCTCCGTGTCCTTGTAGTAGTTGGGCGGGCCGTCGGGGAACCAGATCCTCGTCCACGCGCCGTTGAAGGCCCGGATCCCGGGGAGGTTGTTCTGGTACGTGACGGGCTTGCCCTTCCAGTTGCTCAGCCGCCCGTCCATGCCCTTGGCGCTGTAGCTCGACACCGGCGGGTGCTGCCTCGAGCTCCCCGGCGGGTACGGCCCGCTCCCGGGCGCCGCCGCTTGTTGCGCGGCGGAGGGCGCGGCGGGCTGCCCGCCAAACGGGTTTGATGCTGCTCCGCCCCCGCCGAGGCCGCCCGCAGGCTGGCCGAAGGGCGACGGCGCGTTGTTCTGGCCAAAGGGGTTGGGCTTCTGGCCGAGTTGCGCCGGCTGGCCAAAGGCGCTGGTTGGCTGTGGCGGCTGCTGCGTCGGCTGCGCTTCCATCGACGCAGACCCGAATGCGCTGGGCTGGGAGTCTGGCTTTGCGCCAAAGGGATTGCTCGCCGCCGTCTGTGTTTGCGCTGGCTGGCCGAACGGGCTCGCAGACGTCGTCTGCGAAGGCTGGCCAAAGGCACTAGGAGCCGCAGGCTGGGAGGGCTGGCCGAACGGGCTGGCGTTGGACTGCGCGGGAGCACCGAACGGACTGGCATTCTGCGTCGTGTTTTGTGCCGGTTGTCCGAACGGGCTGGGGCTGGCTGTGTTCTGCGCCGCTTGGCCAAAGGGGCTGACCGAGTTGCCACCAGCGGTAGCGCTCGCAAAGGGGCTGGCACCGCTCGACGCGCCGCCAAAGGGGTTCGGCTTCTGCCCCAACGCGCTCGCTTGGCCAAAGGCGCTGCCACTGCCGCCGGGCTGCGACGGCTGACCGAACGCACTGCCGGAGCTACCGCCGGGCTGCGCAGGCTGGCCGAAAGCTGGCGCTCCGAAGGGGTTCGGCTTCTGGCCTAGTGACGATGGCTGGCCGAAAGCTGATGTGCCACCCCCGAGCGCGCTGGGTTTTCCAAAGGCAGACGTGGGTTGGGAGGGCTGGCCAAAAGCCGGGCCCGAGCTCTGACTCGGGGCTCCAAACGCCGACGTCGGCTGCGACGGCTGCCCGAAGGCCGATGAAGGCTGCGAAGGCTGTCCAAAGGCGGGCGTGCCGAACGGGTTCGGCCGTTGCCCCAGGGCGGCCGGCTGGCCGAAGGCGGTTCCCGAGGCCGCTGCGGTGTTGGTCCCGCCACCAAAAGGTGATGAGGTTTGCTGGCTGTTGGAGGAAAATGGGTTTGACGACGCAGCCGAGGACGGGTTTGATGAAAAGGGGTTCTGCTGGCCGAGAGAAGACGCGGCCCTTCTCCCAACCGCGAACTCTCCCGTCGTGCCACCCGGTTGTGTCCCCTGCTTGCAGATGTCTATTCTGTTGGGGTGCTTCTGCTCGGCCGACACGATGAACTGGATCGCCCCGTCAAGGTTGCCGACCGCCGTCTTCATCTGCTGCTGGGCTTGCTGGTAGACCTCCTGCGCTTGGTTGAGCTGCTGCGACGTTAGCCAGCTGTGCGTGTCGAGTTCTTTCTACCCTTTGATATCCTACCGCTTGTTGAGGGTTTCCCGCGGCCGTCGCCATCAGGTGGAGAAGCCTCATCTCCTCGAAACTCTGCTCGCGCATGGGGCCTCCAAAGAGCTGTTCGGGGGCGTCCCTACCCGGACCGTAGGCGGACAAGATCCATTGCGGTGCCTCTGACGTCAAGTCCTTTTCAATGGCTTCTTTCGATAGTTGATACGGCAGCGCTGCGCGCACGTCAGTACTCCAGGTCTATTTTCATGTGTGTAAGTCGCTTCGTCGATGTACGAACCATCGTTGCCACCGCGATTGAATCCCCCTCCTCCCTGCCCAAAAGCTGCAAAGCGATTGTTCGATTGTGATCTCGGGTGCTCGAATCGGCAGTTCTCTGGTCGCAGACGTTAGCTCGACACGTTCTCCCTAAAAAGCCACAGAGTCCCTGCGACGTGGGAAAACATCAATGGAAGCGCCATCGCGCGTGACGTACGTCCATACCTGCAGTTCCCCTGCTCGTAGAACTTGCAGACCACCATGTCGAGGGCTGTAAGCGAGCGTTCTGTGGTGTAGTTTTCGGCGTGAAGGAAGCAGCTATGTCATTTCGGAGGATACGCAAGCTTAGGCAGGATGGCCAAGACGGGAGGCAGATAAGTCAAAGCTTCCAATTGTCACAAGCGCGCGCGGATTGGGCGTCGAGAAAGAAATCAAACCTAATATCAGCCTTTCGCAGCCTTGCCGTTGCTAGGCGCTAGCGCGGTTTCACAGGCCAATGGGAGGGCAGTACAGTGTTTATAACGTGTATGAGTTCTTCGCACTGTATCTGCCTCTTCTTCCTCCGAAAGCGCCACAGAGTCTCGAAATGGTATATTTACATGACTGACATGATTGTATTTTTGCTGGTATTTATTTATTTCTACTTGCCAACTCCTTTGTCTCGACATATTTGTCTCCCTCGCTCTTCATGGTCAGAGTTCTCTCGTACGTCTTCTAATCGTCTTGTCATTGAATCATTTAATTCTAATCTTATTAGCCGCACCCTCGCGTCCTCTTCAAGACTGGCCTGAATAACTCGGACATGATCGATCTTAAACGTCAACCAGAAACTACTGACGGACCATCGACACAACAACAACAATGGACAGGCATAACGCGGAATTCATGAATCGATCGACTTTAATTGCTTCCACTAAAAGACAACTATCCTAGCACCCGTCTACCCGATAACGCTGGCAATCATGGGCTTCAGCTGCTCCTCGACGTAGGCAGGGTTCCGCCAGTCCGACCAGTCAGCGGTCAGCAGACCCCACGACTCGTCGTAGTTCAGCGTGCCCTCGCGGACGTAGTAGCTTCCCACGAGCACCCAGATGAAGAAGCTCGCCCTGACCTCGGAGACGTACTCGGACAGGCACGTCGCGTAGACGTCCTGGTACGAGTCGTCCTCCATGTTGAACCCGTACTCGGTCAGCGAGACGGGGAACACGTTGACCGTCGCCGGGTCCGTCGCGTTCATGGCCTGGAACCCGCTGTTGTACAGGGCGGACTTCAGGCTGTCGCAGCTGATGGCGTCGGTGTTGTAGTTGTGGATCTCAAGCACAAGCTTGTCAGCATAGGCGAAGTCGCTGCGCGAGAAGGTCCCGTTTCCGGGCTCCAGCGCCGTGCCGCGGACCACGGGCGCGACCGTCGTGTCGTAGTTGAGTCCCGAGAGGTAGATGAGCACGTCCGGGTTCGCGCCATTGATGGCGTCGGTGCCCAGCTTGATGTGCTCGTACCAGTCCTGCCAGTGGTACGAGGCGGCCACGAGGTCGGGGTTGTCGGATGCCTGTCGGAGCTCGTTCCGGAGGGACATGGAGACGAGCGCCGGCCACGATTTGCCCTGCACAGCCAGTCAGTCAGTCGTCACTCGCCCTTGATAAGCTTGAGGACGGGAGAGGAACAAGAAAACACTTACGTGCCCTGCCATGTAAGCGAGGCCGCGCACCCAGTTAGCGACGTCGAACTCGCGGTCTCCCCACCACGTGTTGCCATCGTTGCTGGAGCAGCACCACTTGGCCTTGGACATGTGGTTGTCAAGGTGGATGTGGACCTGCTGCTTGGCACACTCGGCGGCGATAGCGTCGTAGACCTGCAGCAAAACGTTGCCGAATTAGCGAACGAGCTCTCAATACACGGAAAAGAAAAGAAATCAGTCCCATGTTCTCGCGTCAACGCACCTCCAGGCGGGTGGTGGCCTCGGTGAAGGACGGGTTCTTGGCCAAGACCTGCGCGAGGACGGCGGTGCCGTTGGCCTCGCCCAGGCCCTCGACGAAGGCCGTCTTGAGGTCGACGTCGTTTCCGCCGTTGGCGTAGATCTGGTCGACGAGCTCGATGGCGTAGGTCAGTCGGATGGCGTTCATGCCGATGCTCTTGATCTTGGAGACGATCTGCTCGACCGAGCCGTACTGCAGGCCCTCGGGGACCATGACCTCGCCGTGGCCGGGCCAGTTGGTGCCGGCGAAGTTGACGATGTTGCCCGAGGCGTCCAGCTGCCAGCGGCCGTCGCTCGTGAAGGGGCCGTTGGGCCAGGCGGCCTGCCTGGCCTGGGGGAAGGCGGCGGCGGCGCAGAGCGGCGCGACGGTGCTGGCGACGCCCAGGAGAGAGCTGAGGAACTTCATTGTGGTCGACGGGTGAGCCTGCGGGAGGTTGTCGCAGCAGAGCGGTCGAGGCGTGCCACCGCGCGGCCGCCACTGGCTTTTATACCACCTTTTCTCCACGCGGCATCTCTCTCCCAGATGGAACAGCCATCCCGTCCATGTGCGCTGCTTGCTGCCCACCTCCCCCACGGACCGAGAGCGGGACCTGCAGGCTCACGCCAGGAACCGGCCTCTGACATCACGAACATTGGCAGTAAGCCACGAGACTAGCTCTCTAGGACGGTCCCTGTCACCGCCCAATGTCACCATCCAATGCATCATGACCAGTCGTAAACCATGTCATCGCCTGCAGCGGGGCTCGAAAGCCAAGCGAAGCTCGGGGGAGATTTGGCCCGAGAAGAAGAGAGCAGCCGTCGGACCAGGGATTGAGGGGGGGGGGGGGGGTTCGGCCAAGATTACGATACAGGGAGCATGAGAAGCTCCCAAGGCGGGTCAACGAGGTGACGACGTGCCAGGAACAAGATAGAGAGAGTGGCAACGCTCGACCTCGGCTTGAAAGAGGGTCTGTTTATGGTGGTGGCAGTGGGCTGGTCATTCCACCCCCGCATTGCTTATCGAATCTACCTATAACCCATATAGCATGGATAGAAAGCCTTACTCCGCACGTCGTTCCCCTGTGGCTCCCCCGGCCCTCCGGCGCGGTAGCGGGTGTTTTTGCCGGTATCTAACCACATACGGCAGGCACCTGGAAAAGCCGTATCCCCATAACCCGAGCTCCGAGGTTTGGTTCTCAGAGTTCGGGTTATTGGATACCGTTTTTCCCGGATAGATGATGGGATAAGTTAGTAGCTGCGGTCGGTGGCGGTGCTGCTAAGAAGAAGTCAAATACCAAAAAAAAAGTGCGCCGGCAAAACCCCCTCTACCCTCCGGCGCAAGACCTCCTGCATGCCGAGAGTCCTCCTCACCTTCACCGGCTCCCTCCCCAAAGCGGCCGTTTGCTGCGCGATCACAAGATGGTCCGGGTGAGCCCGTCGTTGCATGGGAGCCTAGTGTCAAGTAACGGCTCCGCGATCCCCGCGGGGGGGGGGGGGCGCACCAGCGAAGGGACTCGCGCTGGTGACGCGCGCCTAGAACTGAACAAACCCCATCAAGTCCGGGACTCGTGGAAGAGGGGGGGTGCCGGGGGTGCCGGTGCGACCCGGTTCCTGGCAGGAACAAACGTCTACGGCGGATCAAAGAGGCCGAAAGGGCTTTACTCAAAAAGACGGGCAGAAGTTGGGGGCGGGGGGGGAAACAGAAGAAAAGCAACGAGGGGAGGGGGAAGCAATCCGACGGGCATGGATAGTGCGCAAGTCACACGCACGGGGGAGACAAGGGTTAACACACCATACACGAGTTTGTCTAGTCCTACGGGGTGGGTGGCATTTGATCCCCGCTGTTCATCTTAATTTATATTGGTTTCTCTCGGGATCCGGCAAATGCCAATTGACACGTGGAAAACAAGACACACGCCCTTCGTCTGCGCTGCGCTGCACTCAGTGACGACAGCTTCAGGCGTTCACGTCCCCGTCCTGGGATCCGCGCCTGAGAAGACGCGTGTTTCTTACAAACCTAACCTAGTCTCATCCTGTCGGGATCTTTGGGGGGAGGGCCATTCTCAATCGCATTCTTTTCCATCATCTCGATCCCTTTCATTCATGAACCAAAAGGGAAAAGAAAGAGTAAAAAAAGAAAAAGAAAAGACCAGAATAACTCCCCCAAAACAAACTCACGACCTCGCCCGGAACTCGACCATCGGCCCGTCCTTCATGCTCGTAAACGTGTCAAACAGCTGCATCTCCGACGCCCGCCTCCGCCCCTCGGGCAGCTCCGGCCGCCCCTCGGCCGGGTCGACGACGCCGACGGCCCTGCGCGCGTCGTACAGGAACAGCGTCCGCGCGATCGTCGTCGACATCTCGGCGTACGCCAGCCCCTTGCCGATGCACCCCCGCGCCCCGACGCTGAAGGGGCAGAAGGCGCTCTGCGCCCGCGCCACGTCCTCCTCCGTCGTCGTCGTCGTCGTCGTCGCCGCCGCCGTGGCGGGGTTGCTCGCGCCGACGATCCATCGCTCCGGGACGTACGCGTACGCGTTCGGGAAGTAGTCCTCGTTGTGGTGGATCGCGTAGTGCGGCGTGCCGACGACGGTGCCGGCGGGCACGCGGGCGCCGTCGATGGTCGCGCCGCCCGCCAGCACCTCGCGCGGGAGCAGGCCGCCGACCGAGGGCGACAGGCGCATGGCCTCGTCGATGCAGGCGCGGAGGTAGGCGCACGAGTTGAGCGCCGCGCCCTGGCGGATGTCCTCGACGTCGGAGAACTTGCCGCGGACCTCGGCCGTCGCCTTGGCGAGCGCGTCGGGGTTGCGGACGAGGTAGAAGAAGGTGGCCGCCATGGCGGTCGACGTCGTGTCGGCGCCGGCGATGATGCTAGGTCGCGGGGTGTTTGTCAGACATAAGGGGCCCAGGCTGAAGGTCGGACAAAATGGAGGAGGAGGAGGAGGGGGAGGAGGAGGGAAGACAACTCACAGCAGGTTCGACTCGCCCCAGAGCTCGGGGACGGAGAAGCCCAGCCCCGTCTCCGGGTCGCGGGCCTTGAGGAGGTAGTAGAAGAAGTCGCGGCGGTCCGTGTCCTCGCCCAGCTTGGTGCGCTCCGTCAGCTGGGCCTTGCTGTAGGCCATGTACCGCGCGCGGCCGGCCGCGATGGTCGGGAACAGGAGCCTGTCGAGCTTGAGCTTGTCGACGATGGGCATGGTGCCGCACTGTTGTTGGGGGCTTGTCAGTGGACGATCTCTCTCTCTCTCTCTCTCGGCAGTCAAGGAAAAGGACTCACCAGAAGATGCCTCTTGGTGGCGGCGGCGATCAGGTCGAGGGCGAAGCGGTTGTCGGGGGCCTCGAGCATGTGGAAGGCCTTGCCGAAGGAGAGGTCGCCGAGGATGTCCATGGCGAGGTAGTTGCACCAGTCGGTCATGTTCTTGGGGGCGGACCAGCCCTTGGAGTCGGCGGCGGCGGCGGCGCCGTCGGCGCGGCCCATCTCGGCGGTGAAGCAGCGCACGTTGGCGAGGATGTAGCGCTCCATCTCCTTCATGGCGCTGTCGGAGAAGCCGTGGGCGAGGACGCGGCGCTTGCGGGCGTGGACGTCCTTGTCGCGGGCGTTGTGGGTGTTGGGGGCCGGGTGGACAAAGGCGTTGTAGAACTCGGCCTTGCGGACGTTGGTGCGGAAGCCGTAGATGTCCTTGAGCGAGGCGGCCGAGTTGAAGGAGAGCGAGTTGGGGCCGAAGCGGACGATCTTGCCTGGAGCGGGTGGTGGTTGTCAGTCTCACATGCTGCACGCTGCACGACATGTCTATCAAGCAAGCAAGCAAGCAAGCAAGCGGCAATGGAGTAAGGGCCGCGCACCGTATTTGTTGTGAAGCTTGTAAAAGTCCAGATGGCGGTCGCCGTTCCAGGCGTGGTAGAGCTGGTAGCCGTCGGTGATTTTGGCGACCAGCGGACCCGGGTACTTGGCCAGCGGGTGGAAGAAGAGGCGGTAGACCACAATGCCTGCAACCTGGTTACTGTCAGACTGGACCGGCTCTATTGTGTGATGCTCCTCGTTTTGTCGTTCACGATGGCTCTCTGGGGGGGCAAGGCGATGCATGTCGAGGATTGGGGATGAAACTCACGTATATCACGCCTCCCACGGCCGCGAGGCCCAGCCAGAGCCACAAGTGATTCGCCGCCGGCGCCATGGTGACTTGTATTTGTCTTCTTCCTCTTCCAGTTCTTCTCCTTCTTCTTTGCGTCGGTCGAATCGGATTGATGTGCAGATCGTATTCCAAAGTAACTCACTCTGCACTCTTTGGGCAGGGTGGGAAGAGTGTCGTCAAATGGTGAGGAATGGCGAGAAGGAGGAAACTGGAGAGAGCAGAGGAGAGAGACCAAGGACCCGAGCCACGACTAAGTCTGTTACACGAACAATCGAGAACCCGTGCGCCCCGGGCATTTCTCTCTCTCTTATTATCAAGCATCGAGCGGGAGGGGAAAGGTGAGGAAGCGTAGCCCTACGCAACCCAGCCCCGTCGGCTTTCCACGGTCCAAATCGGGTCAAGGAGACAGTCAACCAACCATTTTTGGATCCGCCCCCAGATAGCCACATGCACGTAAACACTGGGCTGTTCTATTCTTTTCTCCAAGCATTATCATCCCAGCGGGCGCACATAACCTTCCTGTTCCGGGCGGCGGGAGGAAGGGGAGAGGAAAAGGGGGGGGGGGGGGGGGGGGGGGGGGATGAGTCTCGTCTCTCTGACACGGTGGGCGCGGCTACTCTCGGATTTTTGACATGAAGCTTGGATACAGCAAGTAGTAAAACAAAGGACATGGAGCTACCCCAGACTCTTTTGACCCGCAGATGGCTTAGTTCCAACTAATAATACTAGTGGAGGTAGCTCTACCTACTTGCTACGTAGTTTACCCCAAATATTCGCCCAGCATCGTATCCCGCACAATGTCCCCGCACTGGGGGGTTTCGCATCAGGCCACGGGGACCAACCGGACACGGGCTGATTACAAAACACGTCCCGCAGAGGTGCATATTCGTTACTAACGGACCACATCTCTCCTTCAAAACGTGTGTGTGTGTGTGTGTGTGTGTGTGTGCCCATCTCTGTTGGCTCCTCTGATGAGAAATTGGAGGAGGACGGTATAGTGACGTACCTGATATAGCACTAAAACCTGGTACCGCCTTACTGTACCTATTGCATATGCATGTACAGCTGACCAATCACCGGGCGCCGGGGCCTTCGGTTACCGGCAACAAGTGGGTCCAGCCCCCCCCAGCGTCGGCTGCGGAGAAGTCGGCAAGACAAGACACAGACAGAACCTGGCAAAAATGAGGGATGAGAGATGCGAAGTACGGTAGGGAATTCCGCTCGAGGTCCGCGCTTCGATGCTCGTTTGGCACCGGCCTTCAATGGCTTTACGCGGGTTTCTCTCGTCTTCTTCCTCCTTTTCCTCTACTTCATTGGGCGCCCTTGCCCCGCCCTCATCCGGTGTGTCGAGTCCGTGAGGTGTGCCGCTGTCTACCTATCACATAACCTTTCCGGACAAAAAAAAAAAGTTTTTGCAGTATGTGCCATCCCCTCGATGTATAGGAAATCCAGACTGTCGCCGGGTATTAAATAAAGGGGGTGGAATGAGCTGAAAGTCGTGTATGGAAAGCTTTTCTCTGCATCGGATCGTGTCGGCAGCGCATCACCATACAAATACATCAGTCGTCGATAGTACCATACAGGGTATTTGATACCATGTACACCCGTCGCGTTGCCCAATGTAACATAATATATATATACTACTAATTCAACCCACCGATTCCCCCCCGTTCCCTTGTACCCTGTACCCATACATACCCCGTAGCCCATTAAATCGTATCCATATCTCAGTGATTGTAATATCTCGGCTCGTCAAAGACGTGGTACCGGTGATCGCGCACCCCCTGGCCCCGGAACAAGGACGGGAACCGCCAGCCCTGCGGCACCTCCTCCTCGCCCACCCGCCGGTTGCGCGTCTCGTCGTCCACCGCCTCGATCCGCTGCACCTCGTCCTCCGACCGCGGGATGACAAACTTGGCCACCTGCAGCTCCGTGTCCGTGATGGTGCTGCGGCTGACGCGCGCGTATCCCGTCCGCTTGAGGCCCTTGTACAAAATGTACTCGCACCACCGGTCCCAGTCCGTCGGGTCCACGTCGTGCATGCCCGACGTGCTGCTGACGTACGTGTTGTAGTTGCCCTCCAGCGGCTTGGTCACGAGGTACGACAGCAGCACCGACGGGTTCTTGGACTCGCCCATGAGCTTCGAGAGGTACTCCGTCTGCAGCCGCCGGTCCTCGGGGTCTTCCTCCTGGCCCGAGTGGAAAACGAACACGTCCACTTCCTGTCCATACACGTCCAGCGTCGCGGCGATGGCCGGCGCCAGCTCGCCCACGGGGCTGGGGAGGAGGTGGTGCGTCGACCGGAGGATCGGGAACTTGGAAAGCAGTGCAGAGCCCCAGGTGTGCTTGTTGGGGCCTGGGCCGTAGTCGACGTACATGCCGAGGTCCTCGGCGAGGAACTGCGTCGTGTCGCGGTTGCCCATGATGATGCGCTGCAGGTCCGACTCGAGAAGGCCGACAACGTCGATCTCCAGCTCTTTGATGAGGTCGCGCATGCGGTACTCGGATGACCACATGTCGTTGTCGAGCGAGAAGTGGATGGTCCAGATACCGGCCGTCATGATGCGGTCCTCGGCGTGGTAGGGCTTGTAGTCGTTGGTGGGGAAGCGCATGAACGCTGCGGCGAGGAAGACGACGTTGACAAAGGCGGCCGCGATTGTGTTGTACTTCTTGTGCTGCGACGGCGACGAGCGGCGCGTGTCGCGGCGGCGGGCCTGCGACGACGTGAGGTCGAAGACACCGGCGCCGATCAGCAGGAAGGTGGTCATCATGACCCAGTCAGTATGCTCGCGCACGAGGGGTCCCCCGGGCACAAAAGCGTATGCGACGACCCAGACGTGGAAAAGAACCATGATGTTGTAGATGAAGAAGCCGAGGCCGAACGTCGTTCCGGGGCTCTTCTTGGCTGCGTTGAACAGGAACGGGACGGACAGACCCATGAGGTAGACGGCGGTCGTGAGCGCGCCGTAGTAGCCGAACCAGTGGTGGTACGAGGTGAGGATCGCAGCACCCACGCAGCCGATGCCGTAGGCAGTCCACGAGCTCATCAAGCCGGGTCGGTAGAGACCGATCAGGAGACCGGCCGTCATTGCGACGATGGTCATCCAGCCGTACGTGTTGGAAGTAGGTCCCCGGATCGGGTAGCCGTCCCAAACCCAGAGGATCATGGTGCTGGTGTCCGACAGCAGGGAGTGCAGGCCGAAGAACAGGCCACCGACACCGAAAGCAGCCAAGATGGATGAGCCGCCCTTCTGGGAGTCCTCGGGATAGTCGCCGGTGGTGGGGGGCGATCTGCGGGTGAATCGCAACGCAGCGACAACGGCGATGGCGAAGCCGGTAGCGTTCCAACCTCCGTTGGCGGCGTGCACGACAGGCCACAAAGGGTTGTTAGTGTACCACATAAACTTGGCCGTGGACGATGCAATGAGACCAATGGTCCACGCGAGAATCCTGGATTCGAGGCGGCTTTGATGCGCTCTCTCGGACCACAGCGTCGCGGTCCAGGCGAGACAGGACGTCGCGACGGCGAAGCCGACTGTGAAGAGACGGTTGGCAGGGTCGACCACCTTGTAGGCCAGCAGTCCGACCAGCGAGATGAGGTGAACAATGCGCTGGTTGTTCACGACGAGGGACCGGATTCCACGGATTCCCAGAATCGCGGGCAGAATGGTGGACATGACAAAGGCCTCGTAGCCGGAGATGCCCATATGCCACAGTGGGAAGTACCACACGCAAACTCCCAGACCAGTCAGCATGGTCCAGAAGACGAAACCGTGGTAGACGTCGGCGGCGGTGTCGAGGGCCTCGGCCCAGGTGAAGCGGCCAGTGAGGACGCCAGCGGTGGCCTTTTCCTTTCTGCAGGCAAGTCAGCTCCACGTGAGGTCTTGCGGTGGGATGCGGCATCTGGGGCAGCTTACTCCTTCTCCAGGACGGCAGACGGGACAGAGGATCGGTTCTCACTGTGACAAGGCTTAGATTACGCTCAACTGGTTTATTTTCTGTGGCCCTGTGTACAGTATGTACATGACTCTATTTTGGAAGCCATTGGACGTACCCCTTGCTTGCCCCCTTGACGTCCTTGATCACCACTTCGAAGGTGCTAAAGTCGAGGGCCGTGACGGCGTCGAAGGCGACATCGAAGAGAATGAGGGCCCATTCGAAGAAGGCGTAGATGGTGTAGGCTATGCGCGCGCGCGGTCAGCTACCCGTGGTCTACGGACACCCGTCTCGGGCAGGAAAGCAGCTTACCTCCGGCGACACGGTGAACCTTGTGCTGGATGAAGAAGTAGATCAAGGGCACCAGGGTTCCGAAGAAGGTGCTGGCAATCCACTTGCGGTACTTGATGGCCTGCGGGTTCGGCGGGCTGAGCAGGACGCATCCAATGGTCCATGGGAGGGTTGCGACAATGTAGGAGATCATAAAAATGTCGTGCCAGTCGTGGTCGTCGGTGGAAGTGACGTAGGTGAAGCCACCGCACATGACGGTGCGCATGATGCCCATGGCGAACGTGAACTTTGGCAGCGTCTGCCCGGGTCTCCTCGTCAACAGGTACCACAACCCGACGAGAGCGAAGCGCGGGCCCGAGGTGATGGCGATGAAGAACATGTAGAAAGACCGCTCGGGGTACCGGTCGCCAATCGTGGCCGAAACGGAGGGAAACCACTCTTGGGGGTATCCGTACCATTCATTCTGGACGATTTTGTGGTAATGCAGCGAGACACCGACGATGAATGCGCTGATGAAGGCAGCTATTGGAGGAATTGATCAGCTTTTCGACAAGTTTCTTGTGCGCGACTCCCTACGACTGCGCAACCCATACGGGTGCTGCCTCTGCGTCACCCGATCGTCATCGTGACAGCTTCAGCAAGCAAGCAACTCGGCGTCGGCGCCACGAGGGCTCGGCAACTTACTGTAAGCTGTGGTGGTATGCAACCAACTGATCCATTTGCCATTGAAAGTCAGCGCAACGCCGCTGTCCTTGTCCTTGTACCTCGACGACATCGTGTGAACTTGTTGCGCTCTCTTTGGGGGGGAGGACAGCCCTTCTCAACTCGGGAGGCAGCAGCGAAAACAAAGAGAAAAGACGCTCATCCGGGGGATCCGGCAATCAGCAATCGGGAAGACCGGCTAGATGGAAGGGGAAAGAGAGGGAGGGGAGGGAGAGAGAGGGAGGGAGAAGAGTGGGATTGACAAGAGGAATAAACAACCCGGCGAATCCAGGCAACCCGGGCACCGCAGCACCAAGAAATCCGTAAGCCTCGGCGGGCCGCGGGAGGGATGGGACACTGCAAACAGAAACGGGATCGGTGATGGAGCTGTGAATCGCGTGGTTGGGCTGTCCAGGGCCTCGCAGGCTCCAATTCTTTTTTACAGGACAACAGTGCAATCCCTGCCTGATCGTGGGGACTGCTCGACGACTGGCTGTGTGCGTGATGTGGAATACCAGGGGCAGGGCGACAAGGAAGATGACTGAATGAGACTGTGTGGGTTTGTTGACGAGGATGCGAGGTTAATGTTACGAACGAGGGGAGCCCACCGGAGCTTTTGCTGTAGCTTCAATTGAAGCACAACTCCCCCTGGTTGTTCCGTTTTGGGATTGGCTCGCACAGGGGTGGCTCGACGCAAGGCTGAAATCCCTAGCCACATATGCACGGACCACTCCAAGCCGGTCCGGAGTCCGGGAAGGAAGTAAAGCCACACCTCGGCGGATGCCCCACTTAACTTTCGGTCGGGCTTCTCAGCCTCGCCAACTTTTTTTTTTTTTTTTCCTTTCCTTCGTCGGTCTGTCTGCCTCCTCTGCCGTTTCTGCAGCGCTCGTGGTACACTGCGACCAGGCGACTCGACTCAATATTTGCTGAAACCAAGGGACAATACAACAGCACACTCACTCTCGTCCTCGGATTCGTAATCATGGCCGTCGCTGAGAAGGCCCGCTTCTACTTGGAGCGTTCCGTTCCCCAGTTGCGCGAATGGGAGGAAAAGGAAATCTTCACAAAGGTACGAATCTGCCCCCCCTCCCCTCACCCAGACCCCTCCTCGTCAATGATAAAGACCTTCCGCAGCAAATCTAACAAACTACCCCCGTCATCAGGATGAGATCCGCACAATCGTCCAGAAGCGAAGTGACTTCGAGCACCGCGTTCTCGCCCCCCGCTCCAACCCCGAAGACTTCAGCGCCTACGCCAAGTGGGAGCAGTCCCTCGACGCCCTCCGCTCCAAGCGCTGCAAGCGCATGAAGATCGGCCACGTCGCCTCCCAGCACGCCACCCAGGCCCGCGTCCTCGCCATCTACGAACGCGCCGTCACCCGTCACCCCGGCCGCAAGGATCTCTGGCTCCAGTACCTCGCCTATACCGCCGACGTCAAGGCCACCAAGCGCTGGCGCCGCACTATGGCCAGCGCCTTGCGCATGATGCCCACCGACCCCGACCTCTGGATCTTCGCCGGCCGCCGCTCCGCCTCCAACGGCGACATGGGCGGCGCCCGGGGATACTTCATGCGCGGCTGCCGCTTCTGCACCACCGAGGGCACCCTGTGGGTCGAGTACGCCCGTTGCGAGATGGAGTGGCTGGCCAAGATGGAGGCCAAGAAGGGCCCCGGCGGCAGCAAGAAGAAGGCCGAGCAGGAGAACCCCCTGGCCGGCGAGAAGATGGACGACGACGACGAGATCAAGTTCAACGACGACGATGACGACGAGCAGGACGCCAACGACGACGACGCTTTGAGGCTGCCGGCGTTGGCCAAGGACAAGGTGATGAACGACGAGGAGAGCAAATCGCTCAAGAACAATCCGGCCCTGGACGGCGCCATACCCATCGCCATCTTCGACATCGCCCGGAAGCAGCCCTTCTTCGGCCCCGAGGTCGCCGAGCGCTTCTTCGACATGTTCGCCTCCTTCGCCAAGGTCTCGTCCGCGACAAAGATCGTCGCGCACGTCGTCGACGTCCTTCGGGACCACGACCCCGCCCACCCCGCCACCTGGAACTGCTACATCCGCCTGCCCCTGGTCGGCGTCAGCTCCGACACGCCCCAATTCCCCCTCGGCCTGCGCGACGTCTTGTCCCGCCTGGGCCAGGGCCTGGACCAGACCTCGGACAAGGCCTCGCTGCAGAGGAAGTCTCTGGTATGGATCGAGCTGATCCTGCTCGTCGAGGATCTCGACGAGGGCATCAGGACCGTGTTGGAGCATACCAAGGGAAAGTTGCAGTCATAGCTGCCGCTTATATACGGCCAAGTTATTGTACAAAGGGAGGGGCTGGAATGATACAGATAGAGAAAAAAAATAAGGGGGGGGGAAGGGTTAGAGAAGAAAAAAGTGTTTTATACGGCGCAAACAACGTGACGGAAATTAGAAGCGGCCCTCCGGCGGGATGTATCCGGTGTCTCCCCCCGAAATCCTTGATACCACTTGCAGATATCAGCCTAATCAAACTTGGTCAGAGAAGAAAATGAACAACCCTCCGCGATATGGTCGCATCTACTAGGGTCATGCCGGCCGGCGTCATGTCATGCCGCTGTGTAGTTGGGGAACTTCTTGGACGCCTCGACCGTCTCGTCCCACTCGCCGTCCTCGTCAAGCTCCCGGGCCATACGGACGACCTCGTCCCACTCCTCCGGCGTGACCTTGGTGACGCTCAGCCGCGCCAGCCGCAGCAGCTCCATGTCCCGCAGCGGGCCGCCGCCCCGGGACGCCTTGAGGAGGCTCAACGGCACGATGCGCGGGAACTTGTGCTCGATCTTGACGTGGACGAGGCTCCACTTGCTCCCGTCGTGCGGCGCCGCGGCGTCGTAGTACGGGTTGTCGTTGATGCAGGCGTTCCCTGGACGTTGTTAGGCCGACAGGAGGTGGGGTTGAAGGGAGGGGACGGGCAAAGGGAGAGGGCAGGGAGAGGAAATGAAGGAGAGCGACGCACAGTCTGGCGAGTGTTCCTTTACGATGCTCATGATGCCGACGACGCCGGGCTCCTTGCAGTTGGAGTGGTAGAAGAAGGCCTTGTCGCCTTTACGCATGCTCCTCAGGTTATTCCGCGCGACGTAGTTGCGGATCCCTAACCAGCCCGTCAGCCAACCTCGTCCATGTCCAGCGCTGGTTACGCATTTCACCGGATGAACATTGCTCAGAAACAAGCACACACACCTTCCCACCCCTCGGGCGTCTTCTTCGCCGCCAGGTCGTCAATGGAGAACTTGATCTCGTACCCATCCTCGATGCGCACGTCCGGCTCCGACTTCATCAGCCAGTACCGCGGGCCCGGCGGGTCCCTGGGCTCGGCGTCGGGGTTCACGTCCGGTACCAGCGCGGCGCGCATGGCCGCGAGCTCTTCCCTGGTCTTCCTGGGTGGCGCCTCCTTCTTCGCTGCCGCCGGCTTCTAGGTTTCAAAGGCAATGTGAGCATCCCCATTGTCTGTCCCCGCGCACCGCACCTGTTGCACACATCCACACGCAAACGCCTGTGTGTCAGAGGGAAGGGGGGTTCCGTAATTTCACTCGGCTCACCTTGGCTTTCTTGGCGGGCTTGGGTCTGGGCTCGTCGTCGTCGGCGGCGGCGGCGAGCTCGACCATAGGTGCCCCGTCCTGCTTGCTGGGCTGTTCCTCGGCTTTCCTCTTGCGACTACTAGTGGTGGTGACCATGGACGACGCCGCTGCTGCAGTCACTTTCTTGCTGTTTTTCGTCTTGGAAGCCGTCTGAGTCTTCTCCAGCTGCTGCTTCTTCTTGTCTGCCGAGGGTGCAGCGCTCAGTCGCGTCGACGACCGCAGATTGCGGGTGACGGCGGGCATTGTGAATGTAGATATGTGATGAAATGGAACGAGATGAATCGTAGTGCGTGCGTGAAGAAATACGTATGGTGTTTGAGAAAACCTGATGTTGCTGGCACACCGTGCTTGTCTTGTGACTCTGGGCAGGAACCTCATCACAGACGCGGAATGGCGATGAGAGCACAGTGTCGTGATGCCACAGCATGCACAGTCTGGGCTTGATTATGTAATCACCATACACAGTCGCTTAGAGCCGCGGACTGACGCCAGGGGTTATAAACTTTTTGTTCAACCAACTTCTTTTGTACACTTCCATGAGGTTTAGATGACTATAATTCAGGACCGTTTTATGTTGTTATTTGAGGTGGAAAATGCCATTCAACAGCCGCCTGAGGTCTGGTGATCTCAAATCACCTGAGCATCATGTCGCCAAAAACAGATGATTCTCGCCAAACTATTACGACTGAAGTCAATTACTAGTGAGCCTAGCTGAACACCCTTGGTATGCACCTTCAATCACGAGACGCCGTTGCCAACTTGATGCTGTGCGCCTGGCTTACACGCTCCTGTAAGCCGAAGGGGGGGGTCCAAGGATAAAATGTTATAGCAATTGCGTGTGATTCTAACCTCAAGCACTCAAACGGTAGCTTGTTTTCTGACCCCATTAGCTACTTCATAAATAGTTATTCTTTAGTAAAGGGACCAGAAGCAGCGTCCGGCCTATCAGTGTCTTCGAGTTGCTGAACAAAAGATACAAGAAGCATCTCGAAAGATACAAATCGGGCCTGCCGGTCTAGTCTAAAGGGTAAGTGTCACGAATTAGAGCACACAGCAGGGCATGTAATAATAGGATCAGAAAAAGCTTATTGCTATGAAAGTTTGTAGAGATATAAAGGAAATGTCCTATATGTCGGGAAGTAATGCGAGCAATGAGTGAAACGCCCCGCGATATGGCATATGATAATCTTCCTGACAGATACTATGGGAAGCTATCGTAACAGCAAGACTAAGACCGTTGCCCTCGACCACTGAGTCCTGAGCTTCAGTTTATCACGGACTCTATTCCACCGACCTCGAAGCAGCTCGGAACCCCAAGGCGAGAATGTCTCATCAAGCCCGCTTTATTCCCTACTCATACTGCTTGAGAAATCCTTCAATCTCACTAAACTCCCGCCTCACAACTTCCGCATGCTTCTCGCTCCTCGGCACAAACCGCACCCTGTACTCCTTCGGCGAGCTCAAGAACCCGTCATCGTACGCTGCGTAGCTTGTGTCCGGTTCAATCACCGTCCCGTCGTCACCGATCGCCCGCTCGATTCGGAACGCCCACAGTATCTGCGCGATCAGACGCCATTGGGTCCTCTCGGCCATGTGCACGCCGACGCACAACCTACGCCCGGCGCCGTACGAGTAGTGATCCCGTTCGCTGTAATTAGGAGAGGCGGCGAGCTCCGGCGCCAGCTTATGTGCTACGGCAAGGTACCGATCCGGGTTGTACACCTCCGGCTCGGAGAACGAGTCCGGGTGGTAGTTGAGGCCGTACGCCGGGATGAAGACGGCGCTTCCAGCCGGGATAAGCATGCCGTCATAAATCTGGTCTTTGGCGGCCACATGTGGCACACCAGATGGCACTCTGTAGAATTAGAGTAATTAGCCTGACTCTTGCATATATCATTTACTAGGGGATGGACATACACTGGTCTTATTCGCAGCCCTTCTTTGACGATGCAGTTAATGTACGGTAAGTCTTTAAAGTCGGACCATTTAGGGGTCCTTTCAAAACCACACACACGGTCAAGCTCAACTCGTGCCCTCTCCTGAAACTGCGGGTACTTAGCGAGCAACAGGATGCTCGTGAGGGTTGCTGTGGCTGTGGTATCAGCGGCGCCCTGATGGACCGCCCCGAAGAAATTGTTCATCGCCGTGGACGCGTGTGGCACGCCCATCTCGATTTCCCCCTCGAGAACGCTGTCCAGTAAAGATACCCTCTTATCACCAGCTTCGCGGCGCTCTTTGACACGCTCATAGGCCTCTTTCCATACGCCCGCCACGGTCTTATAGCATTCGTTCGCGCGATTTCTGGACTCCATCCAACTGACCGGAATGAGCTTCAAGATTGGGAACTGGTCAACCGGGAGGTAGCTTCCTGGCTCGAGTGCTTTTGATACCTGGGGAAGCGTCAGCTTTGCCACAAAGAGTGGGTAAGTGTGCCGGTCTCACTGCTTCCATGGCGATGTAGACGGCCTGGTAATTAATGTTAGCAATCTCAGACTTGTGGAGTTTGAAGTTCGCCGATTGAGGATTACATATGCCCAAAAGCTTCCCCAGTCCGTTGCCCGATTACCAAACAGGGTGATGCTCGCGATTGAGGCGGTCGTTCGCTTTATGGATTGTGTAAACTCCTCGGGCTTGTTCAGAAGATCGTACATCAACGTAGCGACCCTGCATCGTATCAGCATATGGCCCACAAAACGGAGGTGGTTGCAGTTCATATCATAGCATACTCGGCTTCTTGCACACCCTTCAAACTTGTGTCCAAATTCTTTGGCGAGAAAAACTGCGCCGTGATCTTGCGCTGCTCCCTCCACTTTGCGGTTTCTTTCATTAAGGCTATATTCTCGTCCCTTAACGCAAGGCGGAATTGTTCATCAGATGGCCTATTATTGAAATGGGCGCCCTTGGAGACCAAGAGTTCGTGCACGGCACGCCTGTCATTCAAGACAATCATGGTGCTCTTGCCGACCTTGATCGAGAACATTGGCCCATATTGGTCGCCCCATTCTTTGAGCCTGGGGAGCTAGTTAGCCCCGGACTACAATCACTGTGAATAAGTTCTGTGATACATACTTGGAGAAGAAGCCTGCGGGTGGGATGAGATGGGCGTTTCCTAGAATAGGGATTGTTGGAGGACCAGGCGGAAGATGTTTCTCCCTGCTTCCGAATGTGAGGACTTTGTAGAGTAGTAGGATGGCTGGGATGGTCCAGAAAAGGGAGTAATAGCTGACCGTAAAGGGCCACGTGATTACTGTTAACCCCATGGTATGTTACCAGTTTCACCGGAAAACAGGAGCATCAACCCGCAGCTGTCAATCTCAGCGTCCGGTCCTTCTCTGTATTTGTATATATATATATATATATATCGGTTTGTCATCCGCCTTAAACGCCAAAAGCATCCCGATGATCCCCATCCTACATCATATTGCTACGTGTAGCTTACGTCAGATCGAACCCTGCCTGTGGTGATAGATCTATTAGACTAAACACTCCTAGCAGATGCGGTGTACAGTCACATGCAGAAAGTCTGGGCTCACCCCGCATTTATACTATCAACCGTCATATAGAGTCAACACCGCGGCGCTTACGAGCTGTACGGCGGGCCCGGGGATTATGTACGATACTGATAGACAAACAATTAGCTTTTAATTGACTATACTTTTGCCATATATATTATCATTTTTGTGGTTCTATTCCTAGTAAAAGTGATGGGGTAGATGTGTTGGCTGTAGGGAAATAAAGGGGTGGGCCAAGACTTTTTGCACGTCACTGTACAGTAGCTGCCGAACCCTGCAGGTGAGTCCAGTCCCAGGCATGGCTGCGTGGAATCAATATTCAAGAGGCCTGTCTCAGTTGCTGTACGACGCTGACTGCATTGTTAGCAAGTCGCTTAGAGTATTCATTGCCGATTCCGAGTGGGGATATTGATGGATATAATCGCTCTAGATCCCGATAAGCGGTTATTAGCGAACTGCATTAAACCCGAGTGCGATTACTGACTGATACGGCCAAAACTCATTATTGGAAACGCCCGCTGCAGATATGCAGCCACTATCTCGTCAAGTGCACTAACCCATCCAAATCAGTCTATACCAACGTTTCCAAGCATACGAACGCGAAGTACTGTGACGCTAGAGAATTAGGAAGAGCGCTGGTTGTAAGGAGTAGGTTCTAGTGCACTAAAGGCCAATATAAATGATAATCGAGGGTATCAGACTTACAATCCCACCCAATAACCGACGCGACTCACGGGCTCAGTGCACCGCTGCAAAACTTGATTTTCTTCCAGTGGTATCGGCCTTGCTTCTGAGGTGTTAAGAGTGGCTGCGTCTCGGCCCCTCGATTTAAGAGCCAATCTCGATTTTCACATCTGGAGCCCTCCTGCGATAGCCTCACAGCCTGCGGCGGGCACAACTATGCCGCCTAGCTCTGGGTCAGGAGGTCCAGCCAGCCCTAGGGACCGGCATCCTGAGGCCTCTTCGTATGATACCGGATCAATGACATTACCTCGCAGCGGGTCGCACCGACCCCCGCTGCAATCCAAATCCCCGTAGAGCTGCCATGCATACATGGTTTACTTATACGCTACATAGTACACAGCAGAGCAACTATCATGGAGCCATACCGAGTCGCCTGCGGACGACTTCCCCGTTCTTATTTACCAACTCACTTCATTTCTTCATTACCACCTCGATCTCAGCATCGCATACCGATAGCTTCGACAACCAGGTCTCTCGTTGCCAAATATAGCATGTCGTCTCAGCGCCCACAGTCAACGCCCCAGACGTTCCTAGTAACAAGATTCGATGCCTTCAGGCAATACCAGCTTGTTAAGGAGGATACTATACTGGAATACAGCTTAGAACACTTTTATCCTATTTGCCTTGGTGAGGTCTTAATAACTGTTTCTAAACTGTAGCAAAACTTAGCTGTAGCTTGTCCTCTACTAGCTAGCTTGCGCGTAACCTGCAGTAAGGAACCTAGTCTAGGTGTAACAAGGGTGCTAATCACCTAGCATAGATACCACTAATACGTAGCACTTAAAATCTAAATTTACAACTTAGTCTAGTACTAGGAGCCGCTATTCTGTAAGCACTTAGACAAGTATCTCCTAAGCTAGCACCCTAGCGCAAAAAATGTCAGAAAGCTGCTTTCTTCTTTTAAAGTAATTAGCCCCTATGGCAAGCATGTTGCGCTTGCTCTTCAGGTTTCTTAAATAAGTATCTGTAATATGGACATGGTGTTTATAGACAGTTTCAGATTTCCTGAGGGGTTTGTAAAGAGCGCTATTAAGACCTTCCTAAAGCGCTTGTTCCTGTATATAGAGGTATAATACGTATACATAGGTATGTGTGCACTTCTTAGTGCTACCCTTCCTATGTATTTTCTTAGAAATAAACATGCCTCACATCGCGGCCAAAGTGGTATTAGATGTTTATCCTAGTAATATACTACTTAGGACAGATAACAACACTCTCTTCTAAAAGCTAGAAGAAATTTAATTTGTACGCCCTGTTCCTTGCAAGTAACTTAAAGGCTGGACTGTCTACCTTTCCTACCTAATCAAGCCTAATGCTGGGCTACTACTGCTTTTTTATTTTTGGGAAACTATGCTTGGCTTGTTTACTACGCTAGCGACATTATACTGATTATGTACTGTGTCCTGGAGACGCTCTTGCACATCTAATGGGGTAGTCTAGTTGATATCTGGAGCGTAGGACTTACAGTATTATGTGTTTAAATTAAAGTTGTAGTTCCTCTGACAGACTTACTAGCCACTCTTTCCATGTCTTAGGCGTGGGATCTCCTTGAAGGAAAGACGCTGTTTAGTGCCTGCAAAGAAGATGGTAGTTTCTCAGATGGAGTTCACTTTGCCGAACTCGTCGCGGCACTGGGCCCACCACCTCCAGAGCTCCTTGATTAGCATCGTAATCGAGCGCTTGAGTACCTGGATGAACATGATTCGTTTGACAGAATTATACTCTAGTATTAAACCCCTCTAACAGGCAGTCTAACTACTGTCTCCTAGGAAAGTGGGGCGAGTCTGTGCCCATACTAAGAGAGAATACCCTTGAGGCAGCAAAGACCAAACATGAGAATAATCTCAAGTTTCTGAAATTCATTCGAAGAGCCCTTACGTGGGACTCGAACGCTCGGCCTACAGCGAGGCAACTTCTGCAAGACCTGTGGTTGACGGACTAGGTCAGGATTATTGAGGTAGTGTGTCAGGACACCAATTGGCAGCAGGACTGCAAAGCCATGGGCAGAAGGGACGTCGGGCGCTCGACTGATGCTTAGTGAAGAATAGAAATTGTTACAGTAGTTAGAAGTCAAAAGAAGTTAGTAATGTTAACATTTTAGAACCTATTGTAGATGGAATAGGGGTGTGTAGTGTTCTAAGCTACATCTCAACTCTAGGTTAAAAACTTTGGCGCTTTCAAATGCAAATTGTGCGGCTGACTCGCGCCATGCGTTTGTTTCGGCCCCATAGCCTGGCTGCATTAACTCTAGCTAAACACACAGAAAGGAACTTTAACATTCACCAACACGCACATGGTGTGACTTTTTGGAAACTTTGCTTTCTCTCTTTCGTTGCCGTCTGAACCAAAGCGACGAGCTGAGACACAATAAAAACGGCAAGCTTATGTATGACGGGCCGCATTGCTATCCGTACGGCAGCTGGGACGATGGCATAAGACCCGAATAACTTTTTTTTCAGCTCCCACCTCATTATGCCTTTTTCAAAGTTTAGCCTTTCATATCAAGCCGATCTCGGATGGCGACTGCCCGCAAAGTTATTTCCCATCTCTCTGTTTTGGGTCAAATAGAGTGAGTTTAGCTCTTTGGATAGCTTGCCCAATCAAAGTCATGAAGACACAACACTAGCTAATATTCTAGAAATCCACATGTCTTGAAGCCCCCAGTCCTTGGCATGGTAGAGTATTCCACGCATGGCCCCGTCGCCGCCGCAGTTCAGTATCGCTTCGATAAATCCGCTGGCAGCGTGTTAGGCGAAGTTTTGTCATACGACAGGGACACCGAAAAGACACGCTAATCGACGCTGAAGGTTGCGAACCCAATGAGGCTTGTAGCCATGCAGCCGAAATCCCATAGAGTCGCGTTGTTAGGCATTGGCGTTGGTAAGTAATAGCTATGGCTAGATGAAGGAACTGAAGAAACCAGAGGCGCATGCAATGATTGGAACGTTGTACGCTTAGTACCCAACTCGGTGTTGCTCCTTTGCTAGCCAGAAGGTCACTGCAGGCAATACAACAGAACGGAATGCTAGAATTATGAAATAAGAAGGAAGAAAGAGCCGAGGAATTTCAGGATTGTATTGGAGTCTCATTTCTTGTGCCTTGGGTGCTTGTACTTCGTGTCTCGCGTCTATATGTCTGTGCATTTGTTTTGATTGATGATAATGTGATATTGTTCATGGGAAAGGGAAGGTATGTACCGGCGTCATCGGGAGGCTGAGCTTAGCTCTATGACGCCCCCAGACTGGAAGCTGTCAAACAGGCGAGCTACTCGCTGCACTCGAGTATAAGGTGCTGGAATATGTATCTAGATACCTAGGTACTTGGCTGCATGCCCTACATATTCCCTCGGCCATCGGAGCGGATATTTGTCTCCGTTGCGGTGATTGAAGAAGGGGTGGCGTCGCCTGTTCCAAGCGTGACATGGGTTTCACTTCAAGGCGTCTTCTCTGGACTTCTTAACATATGTTCTACCTATGCCCTATTTACTATAAGAAGCCATGGTCAACGCATAGAAAAGCTCTTTCCTCTTTCTTCCCCATCATCAGCAATACCGTATCATATTAATAGTATGAAACAATATACCACACAACTCCATCTTAACTTTGATCATTTTACACCTCATTGAAATCGCCAACCTTCTTTCTGCCTCAGACATCTCTGCCGTTTACATCAGCAAAACTCAGCAACTCGTACTTAATGCCAAAGTCCCGGGCTTCGTTCTTGGGTCAAAGTTTGAGCGAGTGAAGGTTTTTGTTGGCGGTTTGCGGTTTGCTCTAGTTGGGTTTTCCGGCGGTCTCGGCAAGCTCCCAGAATTCCAGACCGTTACGGATAAAATTCACATCTGCCTTCCTGCTCCCCGCTTCAACAATAAGACTACCCTTATAGACACGGCGGAAGGCCTACAGAACATTGAGATCAATTACACTGGCCTAAAGGGCGAGACTATCGCCTCTGGCGTCAATTTCATCGCTCAAAGGATATCAGTGAGCCCTCTGGCACTCTCGCTAGCGACATCCTCCCCCTATCCACTCTTACCTTCCTGGCCATTGCGTCTTGTCCATCTCTGCTGTTATCACCAAGGCAGAAGGCCATTCAAAAGTCTTCGTCAACATCTCGTTTAACGAAGAATCTCTGAGGCTTGTCACCTCTGGTGCTCATGACGGAACTATCACCTGGAACTTCGAATGGTCCAAGATCCCCACTGAGGAGGGCCAAAACCCTCAGCTTATCAACGTCAACGCCACTATCTGGAATGGCATTGTTGGTCCTCTAGCCAAGACCTCTATCATTGTTCAGGGTTACATCGTTCACTTTGTTATTCTCCAGAGGCAGGAGTGAGAAAGCTAAAGGCCATTGATTCTTCACCGCCATGCCAGTGAGATGGCGCCACTCAAATCCTTGAATAGCTTTTTTCGTCTTTGCTGTAGGTTTAACAGTAGTTGAGAAAGCCAAGAAGAAATATATAAGTGCCAGTACCATTCAACTATAGTCGTTCCTCATTGGATCTTCGGTAGCAGTTTTATACTTTTTACATCTTGGTTGCTATTCATTAGTGAAAGCTGTCAGATGTTCCTCCTCCCCAGACTTTGAATTACAAAGCGTGAAGTCAATCTGAACAGAGAGATTTCATAGGGATGCGCACGTCACATAATTCAATATATGCACCACATCAAATGAGCATGTAACAGGAGATACAATGATGGGTTCCTCTCACACGTTGCTTCGTGGAGCAGTTTACAAGGCCCTTTTTTCGGATGCCAAATTTCCACTCCCTCTCTTGGAAATTCCAGTTAATTCAGCATAATACTTTTGATAAATTTTCTAAGCATCAGCTGCAAAAGTGAAACTGAAACTTGACCCAATGTTCAGCATTACCCCTCCGGCGTTTGGTGAAACAGAGAAAAGATACAGCTCAGTGTCAGAATCGACAGTCCGTAGTCAGAAACCTGGTTCTATCATAATGTAATATAAGGCGTTAATTGCTGCCTTTAATTAACGGCGTCGTTTTTGCGCGACAGTTTTTTTGGTTCATCTTGTTGACTTGCTAATTGAACGATTAAGACTACTGAAACCTTCAAGGATTTTGACTGATTCTTTCGTTACCTTTAATCTAAATACAAAACTGATATTGGTCCTCGCGGTATCAGAAATGCTAAATACACAAGATTTTTCAACACAAGATAGGATATTCACCAATACTACGTTTACATAATACTCATACTGTTATAGTTACTTCATTTACGTGTGTGCGGATGTTCCCATGTTTCTAAGATGAGAATCATCAAGTAATCGTGCAACAAAGGTCTGCCACCTCAATGCAGAAACAGATCAGGTATACTCGATAGCTAATGTCTCGGCCGAATGAGAATATGTTTGGTTGGATTTGGCAAAATCTGAAAGTCTCCATGGTCAGTCTAGAGATTTCAATGCGATTGGTGCAGAAGAACAACTTGGAGAAAGAGCACCAAGTTTTGGAATGTATCACGTACGTATTGGCCAGAGTGTAGATCTTCATATCTTTCGGTCACGCCATCTTCTGGGCGAATTTGGTAGCTGGTCAGTAGCTTGATGAGGAACATCTTAGCAATAGAGCAGCCAGCCCATCTGCCAGGACACATGTGCGAGGCGTAACCAAAGTTGACGTCATCCCTTGTCGCGCTGCCCCAGTCGTATTTATTGGAGCCAGTTGCTGTCGAAGACATCTTCTGCCGCAGGTCGTGGTAGCGACGTCCATTCCACTCGGCCGGGTTCTCTAGGTTTGGGTTGGACAAGTGGGCCGCCGTCATGACCACCTCAAAGATGGTGCCTGCGGGCAGGACGACCCCGTTAGGCAGCGTTTGAGTCTTGTGGATCTTCTTCATCAGGTTTGCTGCTCGCCGGGGAAGTCCGGGGCTGGTTAGTTTAAAGGCTGCGATGATGGAACAGGGCCGGAACGTACAGGCAGCTGTTGGATGGTGTTTATGAGTCTCTTTGCAGAAACTGTCCAACAGTGAAAGTCTGCGAAGGCTGTCCCGCGTGAATATCCAATCTTCCGATTGCTCCCCCAAGACGTTGTGTGCCTCCTCGAGCACCTGATCAACATAATCAGGACGGAAAGCAAACTCGTAGACAACCTGCGTAGTTGAGGGCCCGGGCGAGAACACAAAGGTGAAGGCAAACCCAATCAAAACGTTAGTGAGGAACTTGTAATCGTGGCGCTTTTCAGCCGGTGCCATGGAAACAAGCTCTTTAAACCATTCATTGTTCAACTCGCTTTTTGGTGATCCTTGTTCGAACGCTTGAATGTATTGCTCAAACATCGGTGTAAAGAACGCGGTTGCTTGCTCCAACTGTGCGTTGACGTGACGCACTTCACTTGAAAAGGCGGCAGTGATGCGAGCCATGATAGGTCTTTTTGCTTTGAGCTTCTTCATTACGGGTATCAGTGTAGCGGAGTACTGCTCGAATATCTCCACAACTTCTGGTCTGAAGCTATTGCCCATTATTACGCGCCATATGACGTGAGAATAGACGCGTAGAATTTGGGGCTGCATGATAACACGCTTGCATTCTTCCATGTGTAAACTACATCAGTAAAGTTCTCGGGATTGATGGGTGGGAAGCACGGGGGTAGATTCATGGAATTTTAAACTTACTGTCTGCGGAATAATCGACGCCTTGATCTAGGATGCTGGATAAACCTTCGTCTAGTGCCTTAGATATGACATCAAGATAGCGGTCTTTCTCGGATGTCAGTCTTGAAAATTGGCATCGAGATATATTGTAGAAACACATACCAAATCCCGGCATGCGTGCGCCGAGGTATCGGTAAAGAAAAGGCTCCTCGAATGGTGCGCCGTGCAAGTCACAGAGGAAAAACTTAGCCTGGTTAGCTATGCTGATTCTCAGAAAGCTGTGCACTAGATACAAACCTCTTTACGTGCGGGCGCAACCTCTTCGTCTTTCTTCTTGCAGATCGCCAGCCAGTGTTCCGGTGAAATAAGGACTAGATCGGAGCCTGCAGCCGTCAGCATGTCGTCTGTTTTATGTATTCGAGTTTGCATATGTCTTGGAGGATACTTAATTACCATCTAGGGCCGTCACCCGGAACACGCCACTTTTGACCTCATGGAATCCTTTTTCAATAATCTCGACTCCATGCGCATTAAAGTCTTGCCTGGTCGCAAACCAGGACTTTGAACTTGTGATTTTGGGAATGGAGCGGTCTTCAGTGGCTCGATTGAGAACGAATGATAAGACGAGGGCCAATAGTATGACGGCGGAAAGAGCCGGGGTGCTGCTCAGCAGTTGCACCAGTTGCGGCGGCCAATGTAAGTGCAAAGAGATAGTGCTGGTATCCATGTTCGGAAGACCTGTGTTAAATCAAGGATACAGTTGTAGAATGGATCACGGCTCAAGCGAAAGATGAAGAATAAGTGACCGATACTTTCCTTACCGCACAATTTTGTAAGTTCCCACGTTATGATTATATGACCAACGAATACGGTCGCTCAGTGCGTCGCCTGACAGATAATCAGCCCTATCAAATTCCCGGCCTGACTGTTTCGGGTGAAGGTTTTTGAGAACTTATGCCAGGAGACAGGACTAGAGACCTTTAAGGCAAACTGTACCAGAGCTTCATTCCGAAGTAAGCGAAGTGTTGCAGAAACTCCGGACTTTGAACGACTGCCGATGAACTTACGACTCTGGCTTTACCGGAGTCTCGGAACCGTTTTCTGAAAAGGGTACCGATGGCGAAAGTCAAATACGTCGCCACTTTGGGGACCCGACAGAGCGGACTTCCAGGTGAGTTTATAGGATGAGTCTTTCAGATAACATGCGACCGTCCTAAGGGGACCTTTCCATCGAGCTTGGGTCCCTAACGGAACCCGAGATATTAAAGTTCCGCTCCTGGTCCGGTATCCTGTGCCAGATCTGCGACCAAACAAGATCCCGCAGGCATATCCTTCTCCCATCTGAATCCTCTACTGGATGTATTCCTGCAAGAACGGATCAGTTGGAAATATCGCAGGACATGAAGAGGCCCAGACCACAAAGCCTGGAACCACTCTTCCGGACATGTCAAAGTTAGCGTGAGCAACGCGTAGCCACTTACAACGGGAATTTCGGGAAAGTCTTTTGTGCTTCGCAGGCTTGTCCTAGTTATAAAAGATTTAATATCGCCCTGCGCATTTGTGTCAAAGTCCCTCATATATTACAACAACCGTTTGCTTTGTCGTTGTTCTCCCAAGCATCTCAACAATATATACCAAATTCATTGCATTATTTATCTTTGAGTGTTTATTCTGAGTTTCCACGTTCTCCATCATCTCAATACGTCGTCAAAATGGTCATGGCAACGAGCGGCCCGGAGCCCGAACGTCAAGAGGAGTCGCAATTCTGGCGAGATGAGGTCTCGCATTCTCTCCTTTCCCTCATGCAGAGTGCTGGATACTCTCTTAAGGAGCAGGAACATTATCTAGAGTTCACCAAACAGCATGTTTTATCGTCCCTAGGACCCCCTCCCATCACTACCAAGTCGGGGGCTAGAATCCCGCATTTCGACAGCTTTTGCTCTGACGATTTCTCACCTGCTGAGCTCAGCTGGAATATCGGGCATAACCGATCCAAAATTCGGGTGGGCTCCGAGCCCATCGGCCCATTCGCCGGGACAGTCAAAGACCCTTTCAACCAGGACGAATCTCAAGTGGTCATGTCGCGTCTGTTGCGTCAAGGGCGTGGCCCTGTCGACGGGGAGCTCTGGGAGTTCTTCAAGAAGCACCTCCACGTTGAAGCCAAGCACGCGAACGAGATTGTGTCCAAAATGGCGCCCAATGAACACATGACAACCAATACCATCTCGTTCGATCTGGATGGCGAACAGCCGGCTCCGAAAGTCTACTTCTACCCTATCCCAATCTCTCTCCTAGCGAATAATCATGCTGGGGAAATCATCACTGATGTTGTCGCGCAACTCCCGGTAAACCTGGAGCCTGCCTTCAACTACGTCCGGGACTTCGTTTACTGCTACAAGAAGCAGCGCAATAACGAGAGCATCTTGCGGCTGGAACTTATTGCGTTTGACGCCGTGAGCCCAGTCGATTCCCGCTTCAAGCTATACCTCCGAACCAAGGAAACCTGCCTGGCGCGGGTGGAGGAGGTGTACTCACTCGGGGGTGCGCTCAAGGGTCCAGAGATAGACCACGGCTTGAATCTGATCCGCTCCTTTTATCTGCACGTTTTGGGAACGACAGCTCCAGAGGAGGATCTACCTCCCAGCACACACCGCACGGCAGGAATCATCTTCAATATGGAGATGAAGCATAACAGTCTTGCCCCAGTGCCGAAAGTGTATATCCCTGTGCGCCATTACGGCGGCACGGACTTGCGGATCGCCCAATCACTCAGTAATTTCTTCCGTGCTTGGGGGCTTACTCATATGGCCGACACGTATGTTGCTGCTGTCCAAAAAGCTTTGTAGGTCTTCCCGTCCAGTTATTGCATCCCTCGGCGCATGCGCATAAAGCTAACCCCGCTTCGAATCTTTGCAGCCCGAATCAGGATTTTTCCACAACAATTGGACGGCATTCTTATGTCGGCTTGTCGTACTGCAAGAGCGGACCCTACATCACAATGTACTATAACACGATGACGTTCTCAGTAGGCAACGAGCGAGACATCAACGGCAAGCTCGTGGGACCTGCCGCTATGAAACAGCGTCACCTGTTGGACTAGTAACTCTCAATTAAGCTTGGTAGAACTGCCGGTGGCGAATTTGGAGACATGCTTCTCAAGTTAGCTGATGTTGCAAAATCAAATGAAGAATAAGTGAAGACATGACCATCCTTAAACTGTGAAGTCTATTAAAGGGTGTGATTGGTCCGTTTGACTGAAGTAGTAATGGCCAGGAACAAATCCAGTGTGTGCCACATAGCCGGAAATGTTTCCAACTCAAAGCCAACTATGCAGTTCAACTGATCATTAAGCCTGGCTGCATAAGTGTTCTGATGTCTCTGGCATTGTTTGCAATCTTAGACGCAGGGTAGGGACTGTGCGGAAACTCAAATGTCCGACATAAGTCAAAAGCACGTGATGAGAACAGAACTTGGCAGAGCTGACTCAAGCTGGAGCTGTAAGCTGGCGACGCTCCGATTGCACCCAAAAGCCTTTGAAGAAAGGTACTCCGACACCACGCTCATGTCACCTTCAATATTAACATAACACGTTTCTCACTTTCTCATACTGTATCAATCAAACTGCCCATATAGTATGCATGCAGGCACGCAACAATTTTTACATAAAATGAGAAAAAGACAACAAAGCCCGGATTGGCTTCCTTTGGAATAATGGGATAAACATAAGACTAACTAAGTTGAATCTAAAGAACCGGATGGTTACACGTAATGGTCTGTTGAAACCTAACCGAGGGGCATTGTTCCGAGACTCGAAAGTTCCAAGCTTTTTAACCTTTGGAGAGGTTTCGTTTCGCCAAGGGTGAGCTGTGATAGGAACTTCTCCGAAGTCGCGAACTTCATTTGATCACTTAACCATCTGTGACGCTCGTTTCGGCGGTGGCCCGGATGAAAAACGGGACGTTTTCCGACGCAGTCATAGAATCTTACTGCACGAACAGGGACAACCCAAACGGAGACGAATGGGGAACCGCACGGAGGTCCAGTTTTCTCAAACTCGGATAGTTCTGAAAGGCTTGATAGGCAACAGCAAGACTAAACAGTAACTCAGGTAAAGAGCTTCCTAAAGCAGCAGCATCTAAGGTCATGAGATAAATCATACAAATTTTTCCTATTCAGGTAATGAAACGAACGACCTCCTTACTTTTGTTACATGTTATCCGGCCGGGGTGCCGTGGCGATAGAGGAATTGTTATGTATGTCATATGATTCCGTTCTCTTCTTTTGAGATTCATTGCCTCAAATATCTATCTCTAATTGAAAGATTCTGTTTGATTTGGCGTCAATAACACCTTTCACGCGGTCTCATCACTCGGACCAATAGCAAAAACCTTTCTCCAGTCGTCATGGAAAGCTTTAGGTTCATTTTCGAGCTCATGGCAACTAAGGCCACTGTAGTCTTCGGCTTGTTCATTCTAGTTCTATGCCTTCTTTACCGAGCATTGCTACCCCGGCCTCTGCCCGGTATCCCGTACAATGAGTCAGCAGCAAAATCGATCCTAGGTGATATGCCCGAGATAATAGGCCATGGCCAGAAGACGGGAGAGATGTTTGACTGGCTTGGGGCGCAGAACATCAAACATCGTTCGCCCATAATACAAGTCTTCGGCAGACCGTTCAGCAAGCCTTGGGTCATTATTTCGGATTTCTACGAGACACAAGACATCCTGGTTCGCCGAAGCAAAGAATTCGACAGATCAGCATTTACTGCCGACATTTTGGGCGGCGTCATCCCGGAACACCACAGCAGGTGGCAGACCAACGATGAATACAAGAACCGACGACGATTGATTGAGGGTATCCTAACTCCCAACTTTCTCAACAAGGTTGCCGCCCCTCTTCTTCACGAGAGCACTATGCGCATGGTGGATTTATGGCACGAGAAGACACGGTTGGCACGAGGCCACCCATTCTGGGCCATGAAAGACATCAGTCACTGTGCATTGGACGCCGTTCTCGGCTTCACCTTCGGTCCCGGCCTCAAAGGTCTCAGTGCAACCCAACCAAATGTCGACTTCCTGTCTTCTATATCATCATTGCCATCTGGTAACGACGACGCCGACGATGACGATGTTGCAGGCATCCTCAAGCCGGTTGATTTCTCACATGCACCACCCAACCCCGTCATTGAAGTTTTCTTCAAGATCGCAGACAGTGTCGAGACTGCAATGAAGTCCCCGTTTCCGGTGCTTGCACACTGGTTTCTGCGCCAGCGGCCAGCCATGAAGACAACAATCCAGATCAAGGAGGACTTAATCAAGCGTCAGATTGACCTTTCCACCGCGCGAGTTCAGTCTTCGTCCGAGGAGCACGCAGTGCGATGTGCTTTAGACGAAATGGTGCGCAGAGAGAGCAGTAGGGCTGCAAAGGAGCAACGTCCCGCGGCGTTCCACACCCGTCTGTTCTATGATGAGGTAATGTCCAAACCACTTACATACTGGGCATCTTTTTCGTTCCAAAGGCAACACTAACATCTGCTGTCTGAACCAAATAGTTATACGGTTTCAGTCTGGGCGGGCATGAATCGACGTCCAACTCCAGTCAGTGGGCCGTGAAGATGCTGGCACGTCACCAACCACAACAGGCCAAACTGCGCTCCAGTCTGCGAGAGGCCCTTCCTGCAGCAGTATCTGGGAAGCGCGTACCGACGTCACAAGAGATCATGCAGATGCGATGTTCTTACTTGGAGGCTAGCATCGAGGAGCTCTACCGCACGTCCCTAACAGCGCCGATGTGCGTCCGAAGTACGACACAAGATACGCAAATCTTGGGCTGCCATATTCCCAAGGGCACCGTCGTCTTTCAAGTCTGGAATCAGGCCGGATACACGCAGCCGGGGTTTCCCGTCGACGAAGCACTGCGCGCCCCGGGTGCCAGAACGGCGGCAACAAACAAAGGCCCCATCGGCTCTGATTACACCGGCGACGAATCAGGGCTGGACCCGGCGTTGTACGCGCCCGAACGGTGGCTCGTCAAAGACGATGACGGTAGGGATGTGTTTGACGCGACGCGCGGGCGAAATATGATATTCAGCATGGGTCCTCGGGGCTGTTATGGACGGAAGCTGGCATACGTGCAGTTTCGTATGTTTGTAGTGCTGGTCTTGTGGAGTTTTCAGCTCGAGGAGTTGCCCTATGAGCTTAATACCAATGGGGCCTACGATAAGCTGACCAGGGAGCCACACGACTGCTATGTCAAGTTGAAGGCTTTGTCACTGTAACTGTATCTCTGCCAAAAGCACCAATCATCTCTTCATTCTTAGATCGCGGCATATAAGATGGCAATGAGTTTCAAATTTTATAAGCATCTATATCATCATGAATTTACTGATGATCATCTAGTTATAGTGTATTCTTTTACGCAAGTGGATCACAAGAATAAACTGGAGGTATGCGGCCTAGCTCTAAGTCAGATTCGTCATATTTCAGTAAGACACACCAAAGACATACGTCAAACGATACAGACTGAAAAGTCTCATATTGGCATTGACGGAAGGAAAGCAAGGCATCTCCGACCCAAGGGCAGACCACCTGACGGGATATGGTTGGTTCCTATTACTTCATGTCTTGGCTCATATTAGAGAATGCTGCTGAATTGTAATACGTTGTTGGGAGCCGGCCAATGCGATTGCTTGATGTGAATTTTTAAGTTCCTGGGGATTGTCTAGTGGTTGGCTGCTGGTTTGTTTTGTTTACTCTGGCTTCTTTCGATTAGTCAGTCCTCTGAATTCAACTTCCAATACCGAGGGTCAAATCCTACATCAACTTTTGCACCAGGTTGCTTGGTGTGCTGTTCTTACTCATGTGCCATGAAAAAGGGAGGAGTCTGGCTCAAGACTACAAGTTTTGGTCATATAACCAAACCCGAACTATTCTGGCGTGATCCTGTTCAATCTTCTAGAGAACAGAAATGCAACTATGGGGACATCTTTCTTCGGCGCCCCTTTGCGGACATTCTGGGTTCGAATCGCGACATTGAGTTTCGTTTTGCCTTATTCGGCTTTGGGCCAGCTGGTGGCCAGCCCAACCCTGACACCACCATTGATCCCGTTTCAACAAAATGCGAATACGACAGAGCTCTTCCCGATGCCCATATGCGGCGGAACTTTCAAGCTAGAGGAAGCGACCATCGATCAGATGCAGAAGGCCATGCAAGATGGGATCACGACTTCCCAAAAGCTAGTGATCTGCTACATGCAGCGGACCTTCCAGACACAGGAATACGTTAAGTAGAGTTACTTCCATGACGTTGTGTGGCGTGGAACGAAACAAGAGCCCAAAAGCTGACGAACTCAACAGCTCACTTATGCAGATGAACCCCGACGTTTTAGCCATCGCGGCCAAGATGGACGAGCTGAGAAAAGCAGGCCAAGTTCTGGGCCCGTTACATGGCATACCATTTACCGTCAAGGACAACATCGCTAATAAAGACAATATGGAGACCACGGCCGGCAGTTGGGCTCTCCTAGGTAGTATCGTACCCCGCGATGCTTTCGTCGTTGCTCGTCTCAGGGCAGCCGGAGCAGTTCTTTTCGGCAAGGCAACAATGAGCGAGTGGGCGGACATGCGGAGCACAGGGTATTCCGAGGGTTACTCGCCGAGAGGTGGACAGACACGAAGTCCTTACAATCTTGCATTGAATCCTTATGGCAGCAGTTCCGGCAGCGCGGTCGGCGTAGCCGCCAATGCAATTGCTTTCTCTCTAGGAACTGAGACTGACGGGAGCGGTGAGGTCCTTGTCTATCTTGAATTAGCCGCATTTTCTTTGTACTAACTCTGGACCAGTCATCAGTCCCGCTTGTAGGAACGCTGTCGTGGGCTTCAAGCCAACGGTCAGTCTGACCTCTAGGGATGGGTACGTCTGCATTTCCATGTCATCATGTAGATCGATAACGGTTCCTATGCTAATCAAACTTTTCAGAGTGATACCAGAATGCGAGCATCAGGATACTGTCGGAACTTTCGGCCGAACAGTCCGGGATGCCGTATACGCACTTGATGCTATCTACGGTGAAGATTCGAGAGACAATTACACCGAGGCTCAGCGCGGGAAGACGCCGTCTTCTGGAGGTTATGCACAATTTCTCACCAACAAAGCGAGTCTGAAGAATGCAACTTTTGGCATTCCCTGGAACAGCTTTTGGGTTCATGCAAGCGCAGAAAACAAGGCGCAACTTGGTCAACTCATCGAGCTAATCAAGACCGCCGGGGCTCGTGTCATAAATTCTACCGAAATAGGAGACTTTGACAATATCGTCAGAAAGACTGGCTGGGACTGGGACTGGCGCGCAAAGGATCTTAAAAGACCACACGAATCGGAATACACGGTTGTTAAAGTCGGCTTCTACAACAACATCAAGAAATATCTCTCTGAGCTTCAGCATACGAACATACGCTCGCTCGAAGACATCATTCGTTTCAATTACGAAAACGACGGGACTGAAGGCGGGTATCCTTACGGAGAGAACTACACCGAGGGCAATAGAACCTTATACCGCGGCCATCCAGGTTTCCGCACCGGACAGAACGGTTTCCTGATGTCCAATGACACTCAGGGCATCCAGAATGACACCTATTGGAAGGCTCTGGAGTTTATGCAAAGGACAACGCGTGGTGGTATTGACGCGGCTCTGAATCCCAGAGGTGTCAAACTATCGGGCTTACTTGTGCCCTCATCCGTGGGCAAAACCTTTCAAATTGCAGCTCAAGCTGGATACCCCATGGCTACAATACCTGCAGGCGTGGATCCTGTTTCTGGTATGCCGTTCGGACTCGGTATCATGCAGACGGCATTCGGCGAGGAGGAACTTGTCCGCTGGGCCAGCGCCATCGAAGACTTGCAGTTGACTTCTGACACACAGCTGAAGAGAACACGACCGAAGTGGTACAGATACTTGGAGAGGCCACTGCCAATCAGACGAGACACATGATTAACGCAATACGTGAGCTCTCCTTTGCTACTGGGTCGACAGTTAGCCTTTAATACTTGACGGTTTGCAGCCATGTTGAGGCGTTGGCTATCAACTAGTGGCATCATGGTCGCGTGTCGGGGTTTAAACACTTGATGTGCGACTGGAATTGATACAGACTATCATTCTTGTACTCTGACATGAACTAATCTATTAAACCAACGAAATTCTAGAAATCAAATCGTCTTTTCCGTCCTTCAGAAGGCACAATGACCTGCCCACCTATCTCGAGTTTCTCTGCACATGCTAGTTTTCTGTTTGCTCGCCAGCATACCCACATGATGACCAACGTCACAGGTATTGCTACCGCGTAAAGTGACAGAAAGCTCTCGCATACTTTGGCGCGTCGTCATCTCTGAAGAGTTGGTTGCCTACAATAGCACCTAAACTACTGCCCATCACGACCATGACGAGGTCTATGCTCCGCTTCGAGGGGTTGACGGCATTGATGCTCACCCAGGCGTCGTCCAGGCCCTGGGCCAGGGCGTTTCCGCCACTGAGCAGCGTAAAGATGGCATAGTGTGCCCATTTGTCCGATCCCGTGGGAAGACCGTACAGCACCCCTGCGAAGATGATGGACCAGGAGAAGACGACGATGCACCACGGCCCGCGCCAGTGCGTCCGGTCCGAGGCGAAAGAGATGGTACACGATAGCACAATCACCAGTACGCTGCTGACCGCGTTGAGGAGATTCGCATTCGTCCGGGAGAACCCGAGGCTCTTGATAATCTTTGGGCCGTGGAGTTGCAGACCGCCCTTGGGTGCCAGGGCAACGACATTTAGAAGCATGTGCAGCCAGAGGCTGTAGTATGTCAGGGCATAGGCCAACGTCTTGAGTGTGATCTGAGCCTTATCGGCGCCCTTCGTCTTGTCGTCGGCCATTATACGCGCGCGGAGTATCTGGCGTTCGCGAGGGCTAAAGAAGTCAAACAACCCGTGGATGGGCGCTGTGTGTCCGGGGCTACGGGGCAGAAAAGCGACAAGGGCGAGGAAAACAACCAGTGTGATTATCTCCTCGACCGCGGACAACCATTGCCAACCAGACAGTCCCCCAGTTCCACCCATGTTCATAACCCCGGCTGCGATAAGAGACCCGGTGGCCGTGGCTGCGTAGTTATCAAGGTAGAAGATAGCCGTCCGTGACGCCAACTCTTCACGGGTATAAAACAAAGCCAGCATATACTGCCCGCCAGGAATATACCCGCCTTCGAACGCGCCGATCAAGAACCTTGTGGCCAAGAATGAATGGGTGTTGGTGCACCAGGACTGGGTCAAGGCGATGGTCCCCTAGACGCCCATCGGTAAAGTCATCCAGATGGGAGCTCCGACGCGCCGCAGGATGAGGTTGGAAGGGATCTCTGCGATGACCACACCAGCGAACATGAGCTAGGACCCGAGGTTGACATCATTGTTAGTGATTCCTAGGTCCTCCGTGATGGTATCCGTCAAGGCATTGCTGATGTTGCTGTGGTCGAGCTGAAGGACGAAAAAGCCAGCGACCAAGAGAGGGAGGAGGTAGCAATCCAACCTTGGCCTATCAGTCCAGCCAACCAACAAGTGCACTGGCGATACGGTTCAAACTCGGTACCAACGCGAAAGCCCTTTCTAGACTCAGGATGGACGGACAGGGCTAGTATGGTTGGTTCACGTACGACATTGATTTCTAGCCCCGTTGGGAAGAAAAGGAGTCATTGGACTGATAACGGGGGGGTAGATAAAGGCTCCCGACTTCGCAACTCTTTTGGAAACCAGCCAATCGGCTTCATCGGTCCCCATTCACGACGTCGCCGAGCTTGAAGGTTACTCGTGTATCTATTAAGTTGCTAACGTACTGTTGTACAAACTGCAGCAGACAGCGGATTGAACAGCGTTATGACCCGTCTGGTCGTCTCAGGCCGAGCCGGTCGTGGTCAACCAAAGATCCAAAGCCTATGTGTTTGTGCCCGCAAGTGTGCTCCCCGCAAGTCCAAGTGGTTAAACCCGGGGTAACCGCCGTACACCAATCAGACAAAGCAAGCTTGTCTGGTGGCGGAGCGTGAGTCAAATCGTCCACAGCGCCGCATGCGTGGAGGCATCGGAGAAGGGGGAAGACCTGCCAAGACTTCTTGCAGTTTCCTAGCTCTGGTGTTCCGGCGCATCCCGCTGACGATTGAGATAGTCTTGGGGAAGGCTGCTCTCAAACCTTTCCACCAGGTCCTGGTGGCCATGAAGCAACGCCTTGACGGTCTCGTGCAGACTCGCTAGATTCCCGTCTGTGTCTTCGGCTCCTTGCGTGGTCGTTGTGTAAAAGCCGCTGAGGGCCTTGATGAAAGCCGCGTAGACATCCGGCTGAGATCCCTCGAACCGCTCCTGCGATTCCACGTTAGAAGGGGGCCAGAAATTGTAACGCCACGGCTGCTGGCCAGGGACTGGGGAGAGCGACCGACTTTCACGTCTTCCAGGAAACTCCAGCTTTCTTGAAACATGCTGGACCCGGCCTGGCCTTCAACTGGAGTGGTGATAATCTCCGGGGGTTCCGACATGAGGTATATGTTGTGACGAGTCCTCGGTCACGATGAAACGAATTTATTATGGCGGTATTGTCCTGAGAGACAGGTAGCGATGCGCAGACAGAAAAGCATCAGCAAGATCTGCTTTTCATCGGAAGTTGGTTGCAAGGCATCATACCCTTCTTATTTAGGCGACTCCGCACTGGGCTCACATTTCCGGCCATAAGCAGGACACAGATCCGTTCCGTCATCCCATGCGTATGGTGGAAAAGCCTACTCGGCCGTGGATCCTCCAAAAAGAAAAAAAAGAAAAAAAAAAGGCCTTGGCACACATGATGTTATGTAATAAATGATGGCAGCCTGTTGGGAACAAGCACGATTGAGCGGCACAGCTACGGATACCTACCTCTAGTGCTTAGAGACCCTCATCATCAACCCCTGTATGCCACCACCCCCCTACGCCTCGGCCAGCAAATCCCTTAAAGTGCGCGCGATGACCTTGGTCGCCCGCCTCAGGTCCTCGAGTCGGAGCCGCTCGTCGGCCCGCTTGGCGCAGGACTCCAGCACCGTCCGCGGGCCGGCGCCGTACACGACGCCGGGGACCCCAGCCTCGGCGTACAGCCGCACGTCGGTGTAGAGCGGGGTGCCCGTCGCCGGGACCAGCTCGCCGAAGACGTCCTGCCCGTGCGCCTGGATCGCCTCCACCAGCGGCCTGTTGCCGGGGACCGGTCGCATCGCGTTGGCGAGCAGCAGGCGGCGGACGTCGACGGAGATGCCGGGCGCTAGCGCCGCCGTGGCGATGGTCCGCCGGATCTCGGCCTCGACGGCGACCGGGTCCTCCTCGGGGATCATGCGGCGGTCGAGCTTGAACGCCACCGTGCCTGGCACGACGTTGGTGTTGGTGCCGCCCTCGATGCGGCCGACGTTGAGGTACGGGTGCGTGATGCCCGCCACCGCCGAGCTCACCCGGCGGTACCCCGCGTTTAGCGCGTACAGCGCGTTGAGGATCGCTACGGCGCCCTGCAGCGCGTCGACGCCGGTGTCCGGGATTGCCGCGTGGGCCTGGTTCCCGCGGACGGTGACCTCCATCTGCAGGCAGCCGTTGTGGGCCGTGACGACCTCGTACGAGAAGCCCGCGGCGATGACGAGGTCGGGCCTCGTCAGGCCCTTGCGCAGCAGCCATCCGGGGCCGAGCTCACCGCCAAACTCCTCGTCGTAGGTGAAGTGCAACTCGACGGCTCCGCGCAGTGGGGCTCCGAGGGCCTCGAGCGCGCGGACGGCGAAGGTGAAGGTCGCGAAGTCGCTCTTGCTGACGGCGGCGGCCCGGCCGTAGAGCACACCGTCCTCGACGACAGCGGCGTAGGGGTCGCGGGTCCAGCCCTCGCCCGGCGGCACCACGTCGCCGTGGGCGTTGAGGGCCACCGTGCGGCCGCCGCCATCGTCGCCGTACCGACGCCGCACGATGAGGTTTGTGATGGACTCCATGCCGTACGCGCGGACGTCCGCCTCGGGCACGGGGTGGCGCTCGGCGTCGAAGCCAAAGCCCTGCAGCAGCTCGGCGGTGCGCTCCGCGTGCGGCGCGTTGTTGCCGGAAGGCGTGTCGGTGGGCACTTGCACCAGCGCCTGGAGGAAGCCCACCTCCTCGTCCAAGTGCGCGTCGACCCAGGCATCGAGGCGCTGGTAGTCGGTGGGGGCGGCGGAGGTGGCCATGTTTGCTTTGCTCTCTAAATACAGACTGATTTCTTATGGGAGAGACAGAGATAGAGAGGGAGGAGGAAGGGAGACAGACAGACAGAGAGAGAGAGAGAGAGAGAGAGAGAGAGAGAGAGCATGTAAACTTTGAGGGCATCTCGGCTTGGACCGGGGCCCACCCCACACCGGCTTCCGGATCTGCGCCGATCTCGCAGCCAGTGCCCCTGAATATGACTCGGTCTCCGGCATCCTTGCTTGTGAGAAAGAAAACCGCTCGTTCAAAAGATTCTTGGGTCCTCCTGAGTTGTACCCGTGCCCCGTCAACGATCAGCCCGTTGGAATACAAAACAAGATGCCATCTGTTACCACGTTACGCCCGCACCTATGCCCATGGTTCATGGCTCACTGGCTACATCGCACACTGCGCCTGGATATACGGTCCCGGTTTCGAACGAGAGCAATTCCCCTTGGTATTTGTAACTTCAAATGCGCCCTAGGATGCAAATTTTTATTTCAGAAAACAAAACGCCGCGCCGAGAATGCCGCCCTGGTCCCCGATTCTATCCCCCCTCCACCGTGTCGAATGAGACGCGCGTAAAGTCATGACTTGTTTTTGTTGGTTCATTTCTGGATATCCCAATAGTGAAAAAGAAAATGTTCTCTAGCGTGGAGGATGCGCACTCCCACCAACCCAGCCGGGCTGCCCGGTTCCGAAATCTCATGCCTGCCCATGTTCTACTTTATAAAACCTGCTTTCCGTTTGGTCAAGTAATCCATCTTTCAAAAGTACTGCACTGATATAGGAAAAAAGGAATGAGATTGTGAGGTGGACAGCCCCGTCTTAAACGACGTGCTTGACGCCGTTGGTCTGCTTGGCGGCCGCGAGCTGCTCCTTGATGACCTGGTCGAGGCATCCGGCGCTGGCGGCGACGAGACCAAGGTAGGGTCTCTGTTCTGGTGTCAGTTCACGAGGCCTAGTACATAGGAACTGATGGGACATACGCTGGGGTTGAGGACCTTGGACTGGTACTCAGCGTGGAACTGGGTGCCGACGAAGTACGGGTGGTCCTTGATCTCAAAGATCTCCATACGCTCGCCAGTCTCGTCCTTGCCAACAAAGTGGAGGCCAGTCTCGGTGAGCTTGTCGATGAAGGCCGGGTTGGCCTCGTAGCGGTGGCGGTGTCTCTCTTCCACGGAATCAACCGCGCCGTACAGGGAGCGCAGCTTGGACCACTCGCTTCCGGGCTGGAACTCGGTCGGGCGGAGACCCAGGCGCATGGTGCCGCCGAGCTTGTCGCGGTTGATCTCGGGCATGTAGATGACGACCTTGTCCTCGGCCGAGGCGTCAAACTCCTCCGACGTGGCTTTGGGGAGGTTGAGGAAGTCACGGGCGTGCTGAATGATGGCGGTCTGGAAACCAAGGCAGACCTGTCGAGTGTTAGGTACGTGGCGGTGGAGGGAGGGGAGATGATGGGCAAGCTTACACCAAGGAAAGGGGTACCGTTCTCGCGGGCCCACTTGGAAACCTTCATCATACCCTCAGTGCCTCTATTGCCGAACCCTCCCGGAACAATGATACCGGAGGCGGTACAGACATCATGCCACGCCTTGTGGTACTGGGCCTGGTCCTGAGACTTGGCCTGGGGCTCAAGGTGCTCAGCATCCACCCAGCAGATGTTGAGCTTCTTGCGCAAGTGCATGGCCGAGTGCTCCAAGGCCTTGACGGTGGACAGGTAAGCATCCTGCGACTTGACGTACTTGCCGACGAGGGCAATGTTGATCTCGCCGTCGGTGGGGCGGCTGACAACAGACGCCCACGTCTTCCAGAGCGCCTCGCCCTCTGCGATGCGAGACTGGGGGATGTGCAGGGCGTCGAGGTTAACGGCCTTGCGCAGCCAGGGGATGAGGTTCTGCTCCTCCAAGAGAAGAGGAACCTGGTAGATGGTGGGCATATCGCGGACGACGAGGACTTGGGGCACATCGACCTGGCAGAGGAGGGCAATCTTCTTGACCGTGGCCTCCATGAGAGGCTGCTCGCAACGGCAAGCAATCTGGATGTGTCAGCAGGCGCTGGATCAGTGGATTTCGGGGCACCATACCATATCCGGGACGAGACCGTAACTGCGAACAGTCTTCACTGCATGCTGTGTGGGCTTCGTCTTCTGCTCGCCGTGGATGGTGGGGACGTAGGAGACGTGGATCTGGATGAAATTGCCGCTTCCTGCTCGGTGACGCACTGCTTTGGGGTCAGTAACGGCGTCGTCGAGGGGTAATTCAAGTCAACGTACGTTGAGTCAATGCCTCGACGTAGGGCATCTATCACAGGTTAGCGGATGCAAGATGAAAGGCGCTCAAAGTCAAGCCGGGTTCAAGATATACGCACGCTCTCGATATCACCAACTGTGCCTCTGTCCATCCATGTTAGCGCCTGCTCTCACCCGTTCCAAGCGCAAGAAAATCCATAATGAATAACCGCAATGAAGAGTAACACTGCGGACGGAGCCCCGAAAGAGATCGAGGACAGGGATAACATACCCAAGCTCGATGATGCAGACATCAGGCTCCTCGCCCGAATCGTCCGTAGGGATCTTGGCAACGCGCTCAATCCAGTCCTGGATGGCATCGGTAACGTGGGGGACGCTTTCAGTCCATCAGCAAAACACTCGATGACAGCGGTCTGTCAGTGGTTCGTAACATACACCTGTACCGTCTTTCCGAGGTAATCGCCGCGACGCTCCTTGTCGATGACGTGCCTGTACACCTTGCCGGTGGTGATGTTGTGCTCACCCGTCAGACGGATGGCGAGGTAGCGCTCGTAGTTGCCCAGGTCTGTGTGCGAGCCTCGGTGTCAGAGACTTGCGACTGATTGGATGTAAAAATGGCGACGACTGAGATCCCCGCCAACACGCACAAGGCCAGGGATATCTTTTTTTCTTTCTTTCTCAGAGTCTGCTGTCCGACGGAGGTTCACCTACCAAGATCGACCTCCATGCCATCTTGCAACTGTTGGTGGTCAGCATCTTCTGTTGAAGTCGTGGGCTTAGACAGCGTCCTGGCTCAATCGCCATCTCAGTTCATGGGCGATGAGAGAGGCAGAGAGAATAGGAGGCGAGAGAGGCACTTGCACCTCGTTTCCAGTACAGCATCAAAAAGTGCGGGCAGCAAGTTACGAACCACAAAGCATTCGCCGTGCTCGGCGGGGGCCATAAGACCAGCATCGACCTGCATTTTGTCGTCAGTCACAGGCACAATGTGAATACGAGGAGGGTCTTTTTCACTCACCGACAGGTACGGGTCGATCTTAATGCTAGTAACACGCAGTCCCAGGGTCTTGAGGAGCT